CATCAAATAATTTTGATTTTATTTTATAATTTGATTTGAGGACTATTGTGGTTATTGTTCTCAAAAATCAAATAAACAGATTTATTGCACTCAAATAAAAAATAAACTGAAAATAACATGTGTCAGAAAAGTAGAACGCCAAATGTCACATTCTTAAAGCTTGTTTTGAACTAAATTAAAAGATACAAAGTTAAAATGAAAGAGGACAAGTGTCATCAAAAGAAAGTGTCAAATGTCGCAATGTTAGAAAAAGTTAGAAAAAACCATTATAATAGTCCATGATTAAAAATGGTTGCCAATATTAACACTACATCACTTCTACACCTACAAATCTTCTAAGTACATCAATACAAATTAACACATTTAAGTAAACAAATACAACAACTCAAAAACAATATTCATATATTTCAACTATATTAATTATAATATAAATAAGTAAATGAAAAATAATTAATTTTTATGAATTAAAAAATCTAATAAATTATAAATTATTATTTAAAATACAGAAAATACAATTTTGCTCTCCGGTGTACCGCGGGTTAAATCCTAATTCATTTGGTATTTGTGATTTTCCCACGATAAAATAGATAAAAAGTAAATATCACAGCTTTGAAGAATTTATTTTATATCTTATGAGACCCGGCTCAATAAATTTTAACGAATCAATGTGTCATTTTTTACTATTCATATTATGACAACATGAACAAAACAAATGCACAAAATAAGTATTAGTCGTCACTAACACCAATTTAAGAAAATAAATCATGTTTTACCTAATCAACACGAAACTAAGAAATGCATTGTACCAATTGGATATAATGTTACTTTTTGCTGGATCATATTTTAAAAATATTTAAACGTAAACAATACTTAAATGAGAACATACATATCCAAGCGCATAATTTCTTGACGATCCATCCTCAAATTCAGCAGTGTCGTTTATGTTTTACAACACAATTGTTGGCTAGAATGAAGATACGGCACATACTAAAATGAAGATGAGTGAGAGAGAATAAAATGTAAATTTTAAATAACTAAATAAAAAAAGAAGTTAATTTAGAAACATAATCATTGCTTGAGCTGAAGTAGAGAGCTTCTTGTAGAGCATTGAAGAATGTTCCAGCCGTTAAAAGAACAACGCACCAACTGTCTCGATTTTATGGAATTGATTAAATAAGAGATTTGTAACATGAAAACGTAATGTGAAGAAGAAACGTAACGTAAAGAAATATAATGCTACGGTTTTCATTTATTAGATAGAGTAACGTAAGGTAAAAAGGGACACTTAATTATAATGTCTAGAAATATATGCTTAGAGAAGAGAAGAAACGAATGTTCAGTTGTTTTTTTAAAATTTATTTTGAGTAAATTTGAATAAATGCCCTATTTTTTACTTTTCTTTTGAAAAATACCCTTTTTCTCTTTTAAAAATTATATATTAGATTACTAAAATGGCTTCAGTGAAATTTAATATTAATTAAAAAGAATTTATACGTAAAACAGAAAATCTATTAATTTAGTTTTGAAAATAATATTTGAAATAATTAAAATTTAAATAATTCTTATCTTAAATATTTCTTTTAAACAATCTAAAATAATTGTGAATTCACCTATCAAGTGAATCATGTTCCTACATTTGATTAAAATTTAATAGTTCATCATTACTTTTAAAATCTCTTGACTAAAATTACTTTTGATTGGATTTCCATTAGTTTTTGGTACTCTATCATTAATATTATGTTAGAGCTATAAGTCGTATGTTGATTTAATCAATGTACATGTATATTACATCATTCTACCAATGTTAAGTCGTAATCTACGTTAACCTTGAAATTAAAGCAGACTTTGGAGTTGAAGAATTTGATTGTTACGTTTTACATATAAAAATTTGTAATTTTCATTAGAAATAGAAAAATGGTATTTTTCAAACGAAAACTAAAAAATATGGTAGTTTTCAAAATCACCCCTTTTATTTTGGGAGATTTTTATAAATATACTAAATATAATAAGAAATTTGAAAATTACACCCAATTTTATAGTAATTTGAAAACTACTATTTTCTTGTTAAAAATTGACCATAATACCCTTTATAATAATTTAAGTATTATTTAAATATTAATTTTAAATTCTAAAAATTAAATCTAAAACTAATTTTTAACGATTATATTTCAAAAATTTATCTAAAAACGTAATTATTTTTTAAATAATAAAACATTATGAAAAAATATTTAAAAAGTATTTACAATGGTTACTTTAATCTTAATCAAAAATTTTGAACAAATAAAATAGAAAAAATTATTGTTGATAATATTATTTATTCATAATTTATTAATTTAAAATTATATAATTTATAATAAATAAAATAATAGTTTATATCTTTTTCGTCCATTTTTTTTTTGTAGACTTATTTCATTTTATGTTGATTTATTAATAAAGTCGATTTTTTTAACTAATGACTTATTTTTTACTTATGTTGACTTAATTTTTTGCACCTTCGATTTTTTTTTAAAACAGTCGACTTATGTTTTGGCTCGTTTATTTATAACATAGTCGATTTTTGGAACTATTGACTTAATATTTTTGTTCATCGATTTATAACTATTTTATGTCGACTTGTTTATTCATGATAGACTTACTTCAGTTTACGTTGACTTATTAATAAGGTCGATTTTTTTAACTGACGACTTATATTTCTTTTCCGTCGACTAAATTCATTTTTTATCGATTTTTTTTAAAACAGTCGACTTATATTTTTGTTGATTGGTTTTTTACATAGACGACTTTTTTAAACTGTTGACTTATTTATTATTATTGTTGATTTTATAATTTTTTCCGTTGACTTATTTATTCTTGGAAGATTTATTATATTTTACGTTGATTTATTAATAAAGTAGACTTTTTGAACCGTCGATTTATATTGTATTTTAATCCACTTTATTTTATTTTCTATCGACTTATATTAAAATAGTCGATTTATATTTTTGTTCATTGATATTTTACATTGTGGACTTTTTGAACTACTGATTTTTTTTTTAAAAATAGATAATTATTATTATTTAAATATATCATTATCTAAAATTTGGATCAAAAATAATTAAAAACAAAATATCGATAACAAAAAAAAAACAAAAAATATGGTAAACAAATTTTCTCTAAAATATTTTGAGTATCTGTTTTTTTTTCTAAATATAAAAGTTTAATTTTAATTTAAAAATAATATAGTTTATATAAATAAATAATCAATTTATTTTATTTTTATTTTCTGATTTTTTAATTAGTGATTAAGGGCAAAAATGTCATTTTAGGAAAAGAATAAGGTATGTTTCAAATATTTTAAAATTATGGTGTAGTTTTCAAATTTCTATTAAGATACAAGGTACCTATTCAAATTAATTCTTTTATTTTCCACAATATAATTCCAAATTAATCACCACTAATTACCATTAATTATTTTCATTTATTAGATAGAGTAATGTAAGGTAAAAAGGGACACTTAATTATAATGTCTAGAAATATATGCTTAGAGAAGAGAAGAAACGAATGTTCAGTTGTTTTTTTTAAATTTATTTAGAGTAAATTTGAATAAATGCCCTATTTTTTACTTTTCTTTTGAAAAATACCCTTTTTCTCTTTTAAAAACCATATTTTAATATATTAGATTACATTTGAATAAATGCCCTATTTTTTACTTTTCTTTTGAAAAATACCCTTTTTCTCTTTTAAAAACCATATTTTAATATATTAGATTACTAAAATGGCTTCAGTGAAATTTAATATTAATTAAAAAGAATTTATACGTAAAAGAAAATCTATTAATTTAGTTTTGAAATTAATATTTGAAATAACTAAAATTTAAATAATTCTTATCTTAAATATTACTTTTAAACAATCTAAAATAATTGTGAATTCACCTATCAAGTGCATCATGTTCCTACATTTGATTAAAATTTAATAGTTCATCATTACTTTTAAAATCTCTTGACTAAAATAACTTTTGATTAGATTTCCATTAGTTTTTGGTACTCTATCATTAATATTATGTTAGAGCTATAAGTCGTATGTTGATTTAATCAATGTACATGTATATTACATCATTCTACCAATGTTAAGTCGTAATCTACGTTAACCTTGAAATTAAAGCAGACTTTGGAGTTGAAGAATTTGATTGTTACGTTTTACATATAAAAATTTGTAATTTTCATTAGAAATAGAAAAAGGGTATTTTTCAAACGAAAACTAAAAAATATGGTAGTTTTCAAAATCACCCTTTTATTTTCCACAATATAATTTAATCACCACTAATTACCATTAATTGGAGAGGGACACATGTCAGATGCATAGGATGCCAAATGGCATTATAATAGAGCTTCTTCAAAAAAACATTGTCATATTATATAAGATATATATATAAGATTTCCTGAATGATTATAAGATTTTCCGATGAAAAGTCTTGGTTTTTTGGCTTCATACAGAACATTCGATCTTTGTTTTAAATTTCATATAGAGGACACTTTCACATACAATGCAGACCAATACATAATGTTACTTGCTATGAACTAAATACTCACTTTTCGTGAGCGATTAGATTCTCCCATCTTCGTGGATGGTATGATGATCCTGCATCTCATCCATGGTGAGATAATTTCCTGTTGATCTTAGATTTCAAGTGGTATTAAAGAAATATTGTGCAAGCGTTATCGGTATTTTCAGATCGAAGAGAGATCTAAATGTATCTATCTCATACAGTTTTTGCATCTTCCAATGACTCCATTATATAATCAGTTGGTCATTAACCAGACTCACTCGGCATAAACCACACTATCAATCCGCCTCAGTCATCTCATCGGCCTAAGGATCAAGCTAACTCATATGCTAAGTTGGGGTTGGTCCAAGAGGTCCACAATCTTGAAATGGCCAAACCTATACATCATTATACATACCGAAGATTAGCCAAACAGATTACCAAAACAAATGCAAATAACACATTTGAAGTTCCGAAATCAGTTAATCCGACTCTATTTGTATGTTAATGACAAAAAGCTTATACCCTCCAAAGCACTCTGCCTTGAATAAGACCATAAGGTACAGGACCAAAGTTTCTTGAGTCTCTCGAGTTATGAGTATAGTCACCTTGAACAAAGACATGTCCTTTAGGAACCTAAAACCAAAAGAACATCGAAAGATCAATTCGCCATTAATCCAACAAACTAAACAACTTATAATGTCGAATCGAAACTAAACAATCTAAAAGAAATTGTAATGTACACCAAAAACACTAACATTGCTAAAGATTCAAACTTTTCCATGAATTGCAATAAGCTAAATCGAGCTCAATACTGATAACAACTTGTTTCAACTCTGATCACTCTAAATACTATATTCAAAATCTGATTCATAAGCAAAACCAAAGTGAAGTGAAGTCAACAAGGAAGGTCAAATAACAAAACATACCACAATGGTTTGATATATATCACTCGTCACTGGATCAATCACAAAGCTTATACAATCACCTTCAATACCAACAACTCTTTTAATCGGGGTCTTATTAGGGTTCTCTGGAGATCGTATCACAACTATATCTCCACGACTCGGTTTCTGATATCGCTTAGAGATTCTCTCAGCTAATAACACATTTCCCGAAGGATGAAGCGTCGGAGTCATGCTCGGACCATAAGCCTGCTCAAAAAGACAACATCTTTATGGATAATTCTCAATGAGTCGGCTTCAACAACTCAGTGACGTCATTTTTGTTTTTTTTTTTTCCAAGTAATTCAACAAAGTTTGAAACTTTAAGTCTCTGTAGCAACTCAAATTACATGGAAATTCTTAAAAGTCTACTCTTTAAGTCGTCCTCTTGGCTTCTTGTTATAAAACCTTGAGTTCGAATCATTCCATTACCACAAAGAAATCAATTTTTCTTCAAGGTATGTCTCCTCTTACTCACATTTGATTATGGGAACTTGGGTTTTCTTAGAATATGGATTGGTTCTTTATGTAGCATGGACAGTGAAGCTCAGGAGAGCCCTTTACTTCAATGGAAGCCAGATGATTACGGAGGTGTTAAGGTGAACTTGACAGAACCAATGACTACTGAGGATTTTGTCCCAAAGCCAGTGCCGGTCCAAACATTTTGAGTGCCCTAAGCGAAAAAAAAAATTGTCGACCAAAATTTACTTTTAAAAATTTCTAGAAAATAATCCACGACAAATAATCCATTGTCAAATTTAGCTGTATCATTTGGTTGTTAGGAATGATTAGGAGATGCTAACTATATATTATGATTGCTAAAACTGTATATATGTATATGTTTCTATGATTACACGACAAATTATGTAAGTTTCTTTTGTTTAAACCACTTCATACATCTACACGTACTTCAGTAAAGAAACAAATAACATTGAACTCACATGATCTCTTAGAGAATTACATGGCTAAATTCAATACTTAAGAAAAACTTAAAAAATTAAATATCATACAAAATACACAAACATTTACTTACAAAAATGTGAGACAATATAATATCAAGTGGAGGCCCTAAGCAGCCGCTTCCCTTGCTTATGCTAAGGGCCGGCCCTGCCCAAAGCTGAGGGCTTCACTTGTGGAATGGAGGAATCAGGTATTTCAATAACAGACCACTTTACATTAGAGTCTTAGAATGTTTCTTTTAAGTTTCTGTGGCAATGAGTTGAGAAATGGATTTGCAGGGGAAGAAGGGAATATGGATAAAGTTGGCTGATGGGCTTGAGAACCTTATTGCACCTGCGAAAGCGGTAATTAAGAAGATGTTATGTTTTAACTATGGAATTGTGTTATGGATTGATTCTTGTTCTGTTTTGGTGATTGCATTTTTTTTGTTTTATGATTCTTTAGGAAGGGTTTAAATACCACCATGCTGAGAGTGATTACTTGATGCTTGTATCTTGGCTCTCAGACTTGCACAACACTATTCCTGCTAATGCTTCTCATCGTATTGGGATCGCTGCTTTTGTCTTAAACAGTAACCGAGAGGTAACAAGAGAGTCTGTTTAGTTCTTCTGTAATGTATAGATAGATCTTCTGTTTGTTTTTTTGTTGGCGGTCCTTTTGATGGTACAGGAGTGTGGAAACTGCCTACCGGTGTTATCAAAGAGGTGAGTTTGGCACATTTTTTAGTGTCATCTGATTAATTCCCCAAAGCCTTCAGGAATATTTACAGTTACAACTACAAAATCTTATGTTTGTTTTGCATTTCCCTCTGATATTATATCTAAAGCTAACTAAAATTTACAAATCCACAGGGTGAGGGTGTTTGGGCTGGAGCAGAAAGGGAAGTGGCAGAAGAAACTGGTGTAAGTATCAGGTTTCAGTTCTTGTAAACATTTCTAGTTTCATGGTGTTGTAACGACTTATGATATAAAATTTGTGCTTGCTATTTTCTTTTTCTGCTTCAGATTAAGACGACATTTAAAGAAGTCCTAGCTTTCAGGTTTTGACCACATCTCTTCATTTTTGGCCAAAAATGTTTTTAAATGTCTTGGCAACATATTTAAATCTTAGACTGGATTATCGTTCTTTCGCAGGGAAAGCCACAAATCATTCTCGGAGAAAAGAAAGACGGATATAATGTTTCTCTGTGAGTTGATCATGAAACCAGGCACTTTTGAAATCAAGAAAGAAAAGACTGAGATCTACGCTGCTAAGGTAAGCATGTTACATATCTTGTGATGAACCTCAACCAAGGATGGTTTTAGTTTAAAGATCTTTTAACGGGTCAGCTCTCTTGTCAGTGGATGCCGATTGAGGAATATGTAAACCAACCCTGGAACCAGGAGAAAGAGTTGTTCAGGTTCATGGCTAACATCTGCTTGAAGATATCACATGAGATAGAATATGTGGGTTTCTCCACTGTCCGCACAACAACTTCAACTGGTAGGGAGAGCTATCTTTACTGCAACACTGATCATGCCAACCTCCTCAACGCAACGCGTGGCCCAGCCTCCACCTCCACTCCCACCTCTCGTTGAAAAACCACTCTTCAGAACGTGTTTTCTGTTTCTTTGTTTCATGTCTAATGTTCAATAAGGCACCAGTCTTGCGTGTTAGACTTGCAATATGTAATTCACCATGTCCTCACTACAAAACATCATATGTAATATTTCTTTTGCTACCAAAAAGAGTCATCTTTTCTTTTTAACAAATGCACTTCTTTATTGATATTACGAAAAACACTGATGTACTTGTGTGGGAAAGAAGACAGTTAAAGTGGCATACTTGTGTTGAACTTGAGTGAACCCATAGATGCTGAGAATTTTGCCAAAACACTGAGTGATTCACTTAAGGCATGGAAGGATCAGGTATTAATAGACCAGTTCGGATTCATAAAGCCTTCCAAAGTTTCTTTGAACCTGAAGAAGTGGCAATAAAAATTATTCGTAACAACGAGACGATAGATAAAGCTTGCAAGAGCAAGACTGCGTTCGTTTTCTTTCAAGCTTTAAGTACTGTAAGTCTGTAACCACCTCTGCTTGGTGTTTGGGTTGCTCCATATGAATCTTGGTGAGGTCTTGAAGATGTTTGGTCGCAACATTAGTCTTCAACTCTCCGCGGTTAGGGCTTATTAAAAGCAGATATTAATTGCCCTTAAACATCTGAAGAATTGTGAGGTTCTTCATTACGATATTAAACTTTAAAATATGCTAGTCAATGAGGGGAAAAACGTGTTAAAGCTTTGTGGCTTTGGTAATGCAATGGGGCTTGCCTATGACGACCATCCGTTGGATATATCATATATGGTCCGTTGGCTGTTGTCAATATGAGCTTTATACTGGGAATGTTCTTTTCCCTGGCTGGCGCCACAAACAACGATGTTTTACGACTTCATATGAAGCCAAAAGATTTTGGTTCAATCAATAAAGGTTACCCTGGTGAGGATCTCAAGATGTTGAAAGGAGATTGACCGTGTCACAAGCATTAGCTCACCCATTCATTACTGGCAACTGAAACCACATTGCCATTTTCTCTTCGACTTTACTAGTTCTTTATTGTAGACAACTCGCTAATGACGGTTTCTTTCGTTTTATAGTGCTTGTGTAATCATTGGCTACTTTACTTTTGTTAGAGTTAAGAACCAATTCCAAAACCTAAGACCTTTATTAAGATTATAGAAAACAATAAGAACCAATTCCAAAACCTAAAACCTTTATTAAGATTATAGAAAACAGAAAACAATAAGTAACAGAGCAAAACAAACTTTTTTGCGTATATATGCATTGATTCAAAAAGGAAAAAAAATCTATTACTATGCATAGTTATCGAAAAATAATTTGACATCACTTGCACGAGGTTCATGAAGACATGAACCAAAAGAAATGTAGAAAAAGGTTGAGTAATTCACTTTGTATACCAGTGGGGACCGAGAAAGAGTCAAATTTGTACGACCGTACGAAAGAGCTAGTAAGCATTTCCAGTGGAATGTAGCCAGTAGTAAAGAAGAACTTCATTGGTTCGGCCCGTCTCGTGTCTGTAGTTGTTGCTTGCTAGTGTTGGTTATTAAACTGATAGATTAAACCAGCCTAAACCAAGAGATCCTACGTGTAACTGATTCCATTAACTAATTATCTAAGTAAGGAAACACCGTAGAATAATTTAAATTGAGACTTATGATGGAGTTGGTTTAGTTGATTAAATCATAATATTTGACCGGTTAACCTAAATTGTAGTAGATTGAGAATTGTTGTCGAACCGGATTCTCATCTTTTGATGGTAATAAACGAGAACTCAACCTAAATTGTTAAGATGAGGACGAATTCATGTTTTCTTTCATACACTAATATATTTAGATAGTTACTTAGTTTAAGATTAAGTCGAATATACCTATATATTACATATTTCTTGAATAATGTATATTTAAGTATTGATTGTATATTTTACTTTTACATATATACTACCACCAACACTCAAATATATGTTATTTAATCTTATATGTAATATATAAGTATGCTCGAATTAATTTTAAACTAAGTAACTGTCTAAATATATTTGTACATATTCAAAAAAAAAGAATTTATGAACTTGTCATCAACTTAACAATTTGGGTTGATTTCTTGGCTTACAATTAACAAATATGGGAATTTGGTTCAACAAATTTCTTTATCTGCAACGGTTTAGAATAACCAGTTAAAGATTAAACCAATTAATGATCTACATTTAATCTACTAAACCAAACCAAATCCTAACTCTCGATTAAATTGATTTCGGTGTTTCCTCAATTAAATTAGTTAGACCCTGTTTAATAATTAAACAAAACCAAATCTATTAATTTAATAACAAACCAAAGCAAACATCACGACTCCACAATTCACTTCACGTAATTGAGTTTGGTTTAATGGACCTTAATTACACAAAAGATTTTTGGTTTAGTTTGGTTTAGGCTCATGGTTCAATAATCACAAAATCAACACAACAAAAAACGACACGAGAGGTTAGCTTCGCAGTTTACCTTTCTCGGCACTGACTCTCGACAATGTTAGAAACTTCATGTGCAAGTTACAGAATAAGTCTAGGTTTCCTTACCCTTAGCGGTCTCGACGATGGCCTATGGCTGCTCCGGTGACAGCGGCTGACATCTGGTGACTCCTGGTGGCAAACTCCAATAACACACGGTGGTTGTGGTATGACAACGACATGCTTATTTTGGTTTCCACTAGGGTTCGGGTGTGCTCGTGAGTCGTGATGCTTTTAAGCGGCGTTGGAGATGGGGATATATATACACAACACACAAAAACGATTAACCCTCGTCGTATTAAAGATGTAGATATTGGGCCTTAATGGGTTTTTTTTTTCTGATATTAGGTTTTGGGATGTTACGCTTTGATACAAAAGTTTGATCTGTATAATAAGAGTCTTTATGCTTTTTTCAAAGATTTTAGGTACCCTTGCTGAGAATATATAATTGCGTAATGCTTGGATCTCTGATCCACCTAGCACTATTCCTTCAAATGCTTCTCATCGTGTAGCCCATCGTTAATTTTGTCCTAAACAAGAGCACTAGAGCAGAGAGGTAACACTTTGAATCTCAATGGAACTGGAAAAGTGATACGCATCCAAGGGAAGCGTCTTTCACGTAGAGAAAAGGAAACTCAAACTCAAAGTTCAAGTCTAATTAACTAGGTTTTCTAGTTTACTTCCTCTTCAGTTTTTGTATTGTTTGAGTAGGTTTATAAACTGACCAGATCAAGGTCGTGAGTCTCTTGAAGTTTTAAAAAGAGCTAATAAGCACTTATAATTTTATACATGAGTCTCCTCCAAAACTTATTCATGTATGTGAATTGAGAGACCTCCAACACAATCCCCATGTGTTCATTTTTTGAGTTGTGACAAAGATTAAGGAGAATATATAATATTGTAGGAGTCTATGAGAGTTTCTATCCGGCTTTGTAAGTTGGTTATAGTAAATGGTAAGAGAGCCAAATCAACTTGGAAATGGTACATGGCAACACGATCTTTGTCTAAGACATAAAAATCGTGCATACCTTCTCCAAAAGTTCACCTTTTCTTTTGTTTGACTTTAAATTTTCTTATAATTTTCCCTTTAATTAATAAATAGAAAATATATATGAAAGGCTAAAAATTATCGTAACTGTAAACTCACCCATCTTCTTCCATAGAACATTATGAGCACAGGCTGATAATTCAGAGAAGAGGTAAACATCTCCTTTATGTTTTTTTTTCCTTTAATTTTTTAGTTCTCTCATTCTCTGCTTGTATATTGCTTTAATCTATCTTTTGTACTTTGTTTGGTGACTTCAATATGTTTTTTTTTTTTTTAAATCTTTTGGTTTAATGGTAATACTTGAATCTTTGATTATCACGAAATCTTGCTCCGGGTACTTTAATCATTACATTTGAATTTGTAACGTGGTTCAGTAATTAAATGTAAAACAACATGTCGTTTTTGTTTATGAATACCATCGTATTTGATAGAATATAGTACTACATTGAAGGAGATTTAGTGCCTCACTTGAACGACTTGTCCATGGAATTTCTCGTTAATGGGTTTAGAACTTTTTTCCAGAAATAAATTGGTGATTTTTTTTTTTTTTTTTTTTTGTTAATGATTCTTGACTCTTGTCTTTATGGTGGTGCAGGAGACTAGTTATGGTTGAGGCTTTTGTGTCATTTGGGTTACAAAAGCTGTGGGAACTGCTGGGTCGAGAATCTGAGCGATTGCAGGGAGTTGATGAGCAAGTCGATGAACTAAAACGTCAGTTGGGAGCCTTAGAGTCCTTGTTGGAAGATGCAGATGCCAAGAAATATGAAAGTAAAACGGTGAGAAACTTCTTGGAAGATGTCAAAGACATTGTCTATGATACTGAGGATATAATCGAAACTTTTCTTCTTAAAGAAGAAAGAGGAAACGAAAGAGGGATCCGTAAGAGTGTGAAAAGACTTGCTTGCTTCTTAGTGGAACGCCAAAAAATTGCTTCTGACATCGAAGGCTTAACTTTGAGAATCTCTGAAGTGATTGAGCGAATGCAGAGTTTTGGAATACAACAAATCATACATGGTGGTCATTCACTATCTTTGCAGGAAAGACAAAGAGAGCAAAGGGAGATCCGAAAAACATTTCCTAATAATTCTGAAAGCAATCTTGTTGCGGTTGAGCAGAGTGTTGAAGAATTGGTTGGTCATTTAGTTGATAATAACAACAATAACATTCAAGTGGTCTCTGTTACTGGGATGGGCGGTATTGGTAAAACCACTCTGGCGAGACAAGTTTTTCATCATGATATGGTGCGCCGTCATTTTGATGGACTCGCATGGGTATGTATTTCGCAAGAGTTTACACAAAAGCATGTTTGGCAAAGGATCTTGAAAGATCTTAGACCACATGATGGAGACATTTCACATATGGATGAGCATACACTACAGAGTATACTCTTTAAGCTATTGGAAACCAATAGATATTTGATTGTCCTCGATGATGTATGGAAAGAAGAAGACTGGGACCGGGTAAAGGCAGTGTTTCCACGGACAAAAGGTGAGCTCTTACGGTACAAACATAGAAAGCTTATTATTTAAGTTTCATTGGTGATTGTAAAAGAGATATGAAAGGAAACAAGATGCACATGTTGGTCATATATGCTACTTACTAACAGATATGTTTTTCAGGTTGGAAGATACTACTTACTTCTCGCAATGAGAGCGTTGGTTTACATGCAGATCCAACATGTGTTACCTTTAGACCAAGAATCCTTACACCTGAACAAAGTTGGGAGCTATGTCAAAGCATAGTATTCCCTAGTGGAGACGAAACTGGTACGATTTCAAATATAAAATTAAGACCAAAAATCTTCTGAACTCCTTTTTCAAATATATATTACCTTGTGATGCTTTGCAGAATTTAGGATTGATGAAGAACGGAAAGCCATGTGTAAGAAAATGGTCACGCATTGTGGAGGACTACCATTAGCTGTTAAAGTGTTGGGAGGATTGTTAGCTACGAAACATACAGTTCCTGAGTGGAAAAGAGTATATGAAAATTTTGGAACTCAGATCGTAGGAGGCTCTGGATTTGATGACATTAATCTATGTTCGGTTTATCAAGTATTGTCTTTGAGCTATGAAGATTTGCCAATGCATTTAAAGCATTGCTTCCTTTACCTTGCCCATTTTCCCGAGGATCACAAGATATTTGTGGAGAAATTGTACAATTACTGGGCTGCAGAAGGGATGATAAGGCTGTATAACAACGAATCAGCCATTCGAGACAGTGCAGAAGGGTTACTAGAAGAGCTAGTGAGAAGAAATATGGTTATTTCTGAAAGAAGATATGTGACTTCGAGAATAGAACATTGTAAGATGCATGACATGATGAGAGAACTATGTTTATCTAAAGCCAAAGAAGAGAACTTCCTGCAAATCGTCAAACTCCCTATATCCACCTCTACCATGAATGCTCAATCTCCTAGTAGATCTCGCAGACTTTCTGTGCATAGTCGTAATGCACTTCACATACTGAAACATGGAAAAACTAAAAAAATTAGATCTCTTTTCTTCTTTGGAGGCGAAGAAGACTCTCGGATACAATCAGTTCCAGGCTTGGGGAGTTTACCGTTGCTCAGAGTATTAGATCTAACTGGAGTAAAGTTCGAAGGAGCAAAGTTACCTTCCAGCATTGGAGAGCTCATCCACTTGAGACTCTTGAACTTATATGAGGCTTGGGTATGTCATCTACCTTCTTCTCTACGGAACCTAAAGCGCTTGCTCTATTTGAACTTATATGTTAATTATCCGGGGCCAGTTCATGTGCCAAATGTTTTAAAAGAGATGCTAGAGTTGAGGTATCTTTTCCTACCTCTTCCAATGGATGATACAACAAAGTTGGAATTGGGTGATCTAGTGAACTTGGATACTTTGCGTTTTTTCTCAACGAAACACTGTAGTGTGACAGATCTCCTCCCTTTGACTAAGCTTAGGAGTCTCCATGTATACTTCACTGGCAGCTGTACTTCTGAAACTATATCATCATCTCTTCGTGAAATGACATACCTCGAGACGTTTAGTTTATTAGATTGGAAAGAAATCCGTCTCGCCGATCATGGTGGAGAAGTAGTACTGGATTTTATCCATCTTAAGAACTTGATGTTGACCTGTAGTGTGCCAAGGTTATCCAATCAATATCGATTCCCTCCAAACCTTGCACACATATCTCTAGCTCATTGCAACATGAAGGAGGATCCAATGCCGGTTCTAGAAAAATTGCTTCATTTGAAGTCAGTTGTATTAAAAAATGGCGCTTTCGTTGGGAGGAGAATGGTGTGTTTAAAAGGCGGATTCCCTCAACTTTGTGAGCTAGTATTAGCTAAACAAATGGAGTTGGGGGAGTGGAGAGTGGAGGAAGGGTCGATGCCATGTCTTCATACTTTGACTATAAATGATTGCAAAAAGTTAAAGCTTCCGTATGAGTTCAAGTATACAACTTCCTTAAAGGAATTGATAATCAAAGGAATGAAAAGGGAGTGGAAGGAGAAACTGGTAGCAGGTGGGGAAGATTACTACAAGGTCCAACACATTCCCAGTGTTCAATTTATCAAATGCGAGGACAAATAAGAAGGTAAACCATAAGGGAAACAATGGTTCGTGTGAAACAGTGAAAGTCATGTGGACACGTAACTATTAATAATACATTTTGTAAATTTTGATTTTGGTGTTCTGGCAAAATGTATTCAGAATCATTACTTACTAAATCGATTGTGTGTGATGTGACAAACCCTTGATATTGTGTTATTTGTCGCATGTCTCTTTTTCTTCAACGTTATGTTTGAAATAAATTTGTAACCATCTTTTCTTTTATTTCTCCTTCGCTTATACAGATTTGAATCTGACCCAGTCTTCTATGACTTGCAATGGTTTCGTTATCGCGAGATAAAGAACCGTGGTGGCTCTAGCCTATCTTCGGCCGAAAAGAAAGTTTTAGACTCACAAGAAACCATGGAATCATTAACATGCAAGCACGAAAACGTCACTACAAGAAATTTGTTCATTGATAGCATAACGTAATAGCACGGATTACTCAACTGCTATTGAAGATTATTTACAAATTTTGTTTTCGTATGATAGCGTTTTATAAATGCTAATAAATAAATTTAATAATATAGCAAGGTTTTAACGCTATGATAGAATTCCTCTAGCCCGGGAAACTAAAATGACTCATACCGCGAAACACATAAAAGAATATTTTTTCTTTTTGCGAACAGACTAATTTTTTCCCTCTTTACTCGAGAAAACCCTAAGGCTTAACCACACTCTCTCAAACCGACGAATCGATTCCTGGAGCCACCGATTGAACTCGCCACCGCCGTCGTTGAAGTTAGCCGCCGTCAAAGCTGTAGCCGCGACAGAAAACCTGATTTCGGCCCTAATTCTCCGATTAAACCATCTCTCTGAGTCCCAAATCGAAGGCATGTCTCTCTGAATCTGTAGATCTATTTCTTCCCTTTCGTTAACCTAGCTAGATTTCTTTTAGCTGTCGTGAAGCTCGACAACTGTTTTGTTTCTTAAAGTCTGGATTTAAGGGTTTCTCTGATTCGATTCTTCAAAGTTTTTGTCTTTTGCATGTCCGTGTTCTTTGCTTAATTAGAACTATTTGTTTGTGTGGTTTGATTTAGGCGTAGCTTGATAAATAGGATGCACAATTTTGCTTTCGGAAATCTTAGATTTTTAGATAACTTGTATTGACCTATTCTCGAGATTTAGAAGTTTTTGTTGACATTCTATTACAACTATTTGTATTGACTTGTTCTTATTGTCGGATACAATTGGTTGGTCTTGTAAGTTCTGACTTTTTGTATTGATCTGTTATCTGAATCTTTAGATCTTTTAAGTGCTTTTCTAACACATTCTTGCATTACCAAACACATGAAACTAGATATACTCATTCTCTCATTTTGTTTTGCAAGTGTTGCTGTTTGAAGTAATGGGAATCTGAAGGTTATCTTTGGCTCTTATTACACGACAGGTTAGACCATCTTTTCCTTTGTCTTGTACATTACTGTGTTTGCTATGTGATTGGTAATAGATATTTTACTTTGATTAATCGTTTTAAATATGGTTATATGTGTTTGACATATGCTTTGATATGGTTTGAGATTAGTTTATCTGCATAAAATTTGTGTTTGATTTATTAATTAGTCTGAATATTAAGTGATCCTGTGATGTGTGAAGACTCTTTCATTAAATCTGAATAAGTTTTTATATCACATATGCTTTGATCTTGTCTGAGATTGAGTTATATATATTGTTTACATTGAGTTAAAATTTGAGTTTGCTTAATTTGTTAATTAGTCTGAAAAGTAAGTGGTTCTGTGATGTGTTTAGACTATTTCATTAAATCTGACTTAGTTCTTTTATCACATATGCTTTGATCTGATTTGAGTTTGATTTAGTTAAAATCTGAGTTTGATTTATTTGTTAATTAGTCTGAATATTACTGTGTGATGTGTGTAGACTCTTTAATTAAATCTGAATAAGTTCCTATATCAATAAAGGTTTTAATTACGGTTGCATTATAAAATGGTGGACAAGGGTTGGGTGCACCTTTGCAGGTAAGATTTTTTTTATATATTAGATTAGGGAATTTGGAGACTTTGCTTGTTTTTTTTTCTTCTTTTTTCTCTTTTAACTCTTCATCTTATATGAAGAGTTGATCCTGCTTATGAGAGAGGGGCTGCAAACTTTGTACGGACTGTGGCTGCGGCAATGGGAGACGTTGATATGATTGTATGTCCTTGCATTGATTGTCGTAATATAGATCGTCACTCAGCCAGTGTTGTAGTTGATCATCTTGTAACAAGGGGAATGGACGAGCCTTACAAGATGCGGTCTGATTGGTATCATCATGGAGAATTGAATCCAGTGGTTGGAGGTGAAAGCAATCAAAATCAGTGGCATGATGAAATTGTTGGGTTATATGAAGCAGCTGAATATTTGGATGAAGAGTTTGCTTCCAAAGTTGAGATTGCAGAGGGTTTGGACAAGGAAGAAGATGAGTTCCTTGCGAAGCTTGCAGATGCTGAAACACCACTATATCCAAGTTGTCTCAACCATAGCAAGCTGTCGGCTATTGTAACACTTTTCAGACTTAAGACAAAGAATGGCTGGTCTGACAAGAGCTTCAATGAACTCCTAGAGACACTTCCGGAGATGTTACCAGCGGGTAATGTGCTGCACACATCACTATACGAGGTGAAGAAATTTTTGAAATCCTTTGATATGGGTTACGAGAAGATCCATGCATGTGTTAATGACTGCTGCCTATTCAGAAAGAATTACAAGAAGCTCGACAGTTGTCCTAAATGCAGCGCTTCAAGATGGAAGACTAACTTGCACACTGGTGAAATAAAGAAAGGTGTCCCACAGAAAGTATTAAGGTACTTTCCGATAATCCCACGCCTTAAGAGAATGTTTAGGTCTGACGAAATGGCTAAGGATTTAAGGTGGCATTTTAGCAACAAAAGCAGCGATGGAAAACTCCGTCATCCTGTAGATTCAGTAACATGGGATCAGATGAATGCCAAATACCCGTCATTTGCAGCTGAGGAAAGAAACCTGAGGCTTGGACTTTCAACAGATGGATTTAATCCATTCAACATGAAGAACACTTGAACTAGATGAAGAGTACCAAAAGGTTACAGTGCTTAAGCAGATGGGATGCTTGTGGAGGTCCTGGAAATCAAGGCAAGTTACAAACATTAGAGAAGCTAAGACTAACCAAGAGAGGATGAACATGCGACCTAAAAATATTTCTCCATTTGATTGGCGTAAATTTGTGAAGCTCAAAACTAGCAAAGAATTTAAGGTATGCATTTGGAATTTGTAAATTTATCTATTATGAGTAGGTTCACTTATCTTTCCTTAGAAATTAACATTCATCTGTTAGGTTGTAAGCGATAGCTACAAGGAAAGAAGGCGCAATCAGATTCCACACACTTGTAGTCGCAGGGGAATGGTTAGACTAGCAGAAGATATGGTAATATTGCTACACTTATATTGTTCATTTTGCTCAGCCTTTTTCCAAAGTTCAAACAGTTATGTAATCTTATGTTTCTTTTCTTTTTGTTTAGAAAACTGCTAGTGTAGACCCATCTGAAGTGACACGCCTAAAGGTTTGGGTTAAGTCACGTACTAAGAAAGATGGTACACCAGTGAATACGAATGCTGCTGAAAAGATTGTGAGTTATTTTGCTTCTAATGATTTGCATTTTGGCATTTGAATCACACTTGATATTTTAATATGTATCTTATGAGTTTCAGAAAAAGGCAGAGGAGATTGTTAACAGTGATAATCCATCACATGCAACAAATGAAGCACAAGATTCACTAAGCCAACTGTTAGGGCCTGACAATCCTGGTAGAATGAGAGCAATGGGTCGCAATATGAATAAGACCAAGTTAGCTTGTTTCCAAGTGAAGCACAAGTGTATGGCTGAAATGCAAGAGAATCAGCTTCATCTCCAGAAGAAGGTCAATGAGCTACAAGATGTAATTGAGAAAATGAAGAACCAGGTTAGTGCACTTAGCTATTTATATCTATTTATATAAAGCAGATTTATATATATAAGATTTGACTCTTTTTTTTTGTTTCTGTAACAGAGACAATCACCTGAAGTAGGTGAAAACTCAGCTGCAAGAGTAAGTCACTCATATCATCTGTTTGATTTATTCTAACAGATACAATCACCTGATATTTTGTCTACCTATTGTTTTTACAGAGTGTGAACAAAAAATCACAACCAAAATGTGTCTTACTTGATTGGGCTGGTTCTGATGTAAAAGTTGCTGAGGGATGTATTATTTCTTCTGATCCGGGTGAATTAGTTAATGATTGTCGCTTAGGCCCTACGGATGTTAAAGTCTTGATTGACACTGCTATTGAACCAGAAGCATTCTTTTGGAGACCTGCGGCTAACATGTTCACCATTGAGAAAGCTGTTGGACATATGATTGCATGGCCTGCTGCTATGTGTGTTAACCTAGAAGAGGATCTCCAACAAGAAGACATTGAAGGCCAGGTAAAGTTTATTATTCATTCTCATACTCATATATAGAATAATGATCTTCTATTAACACAATGTATTTTTGGGTTTCAATGTTTTTGACAGGGACCAAGACCTAACTCTGTGAACAAATGCAAACTACTGGATTTGTCTTCAAATGAGATTGTTGTTGCAGAAGGACGTTGGCAGACACAAGAACAAAACGCATTAGTCAATGGGCTTCCTCTCGGACCAGCAGCAGTGAAGATATTTGTCGATGTAGTTCTTCAACCAGAGACATTTATATGGAGGCCAACGATGGATGTGACATACTTTGAGGACTGATTAAAGTCTTATGTAGCATGGCCTGTCCACAAAGTGATCTTTGAAAACCCTACAGATGCAACATGTCAGAAATCTCCACTTCAGACTTCTGCTGCAAGAGGAAAATCACCATTGGAAGCAGCAGCATCAGTAGGAAAATCAGCAGCATCAGAGAAAGCAGCAGCATCAGGGAAAGCAGCAGCATCAGGGAAAGCAGCAGCATCAGGTTCACAAATTGCAGCAGCATCAGGTTCACAAACTGCAGCAGCAGGTTATAAGCCATCCCCTGAGATATCTACAACAAAAGGTACAAAATCCGTTGCAACAGTTTCAAAAGCTCTAGCTGAGAAGTCCACAGCTACAGGTTCAAAGTCTCCTGTCAAGAAAAGTCAGCTGCTGGATTCACAACTCCCTCTAAGAAGATCTCCGGTATTTTGTTTGTTGTTTTTACCTATTGAATTTGGTTATTTTTCTACATGCATTAAACCTGGTTTATATTGTAACATTGCAGCGTAAAAGTGTAGCTGAAGTTATCAAGGCCAATCAGAAGTGTAAGTTAATGGATATTAGTGGAAAGAAGCAGGTGGTTGCTGAAGGACGTGTGCATTCAATCGACCCAGACCTAAAGGTACACCATGTTCGATTGGGGTCTAATGCAGCTAGAGTTTGGGTGGATGTAGTGAAAATAGATGATGCAGCAGTTTGGAGGCCATCAGATGAAATCGAGTATATGAGAGATTCACTTGGTTCAGCTATTGCATGGCCAATGGATAAGTTGGTCATCTATTGAGTTTAAGAATAAACTGGGGTAAGTTTCGTGATTACTGTGATCCTTGTACTTTCGTTTTATATCTGAAACTGAAATGAGACATTGTTGATTATTGCAGGGAATGAAGACACTTTGGTCCAGGTTAGCTAGTTTAAATTAGATTAAGACTAGACTAATCAACTTGTGTTATGTAATTCGGAATCAGACTTGTTGTCTACTTTGGATTTAGACTTATGTTATGTTGAATGATTTGTATGGATTTTTTCTCTATGTTGGATTGGATTCAGACTTAAATGAAATTTCTATTCAGACTTTTTTTTTTGTCTATGTTGGGTTCTGGGAATGCATATAATAGCAAAAAAAAACAAGTTGTGAAAGATTGTATTACAGCATAATTAAACCGCTTAATTAAACAAACCTTAGCAAATATTCACTGTCATTGTAGACGAATCATATATCATAGCATAAAACGTAATGCTACTAAAATATATTTCGCAGCATGAACTAATTGCTAACATTGAATCACCTATTATGACACGAAATTACAATCATCGTTACTTTTTTAACAAAAAATTAAAGTGCTATATTAAAATTTTACACAGCGTTTAAAGTTTGTTGTTATATCATTAACTATAATAGCGTTTCATACAATGCTATCGTATGAGTGACACCTACTATAGCTGCCGAGAACATAGCGTTTGTGAATTCGCTATCTATAACGTAAGATAGCATATTTTTAGCGCTAACAATGAACAAATTTCTTGTAGTGAGTTGTAGATCGCGTGATCGGGTTGGAAATTAAAATTTTTCACACAGTTCATATATTTGCTCATTAGTCAACAATATGAAAATGTTATATCTTTAGTGTTTAGACGGATAATTTTATTGTAACTATGGATCTTTTTTGGTTGCTAGATATCTATAAAATGTAAATGAATATCTATCATTGGTAAATCACTAGCAAAAGAAAGTGTGGAGTAACCTGATGAAATTACTGAGTTACTCGTTGTTTTCAATATATACATTATAATAGTAATCCAACTAATCAATAACATGTTTTATGAATTCTGATTATATTGTAAGAAAACTGTTTCACATTAATAATTTCCAAAATTCTATTGCTCGCTATATATATTCGTAGCAAATTATTTTTACCTTTTTCTAAGCTTTAAACTCTTTGGAACAAAACCATTGTGATAGAAAGTGGAAGTCTATTACAAAACCGGATTAACTCTGAACTGTCCAATCTTTAAACACACAATGGAAATTTTGAGCGGTGACTAATTACTTAGATTGAAAACTTGATAAAATTTACATCTATAATGTATCGTATAGCGAAGTCCATCACGCGTATTATAATGGACTTCCTAACACAATTTAACCAATCTTATTTCTAGCGGCTAATTAAAGAGAAATCTTGTGATAATAGGGAATTACTGCTTAGTAAGTTTGGTGGAGACATTGTATTAGATTTACGTAGTAGAGATAATTATTATTTTAACAAAGGCATAATTCTTGAACCAAATTATACTAACAACATTATAGAAAACAGATAGAGCACAATGAAGTGCAAAAAGTACTAAAATTAATTTGCCATCTGAGTTTTATTCAGATAATAATTATACGAAATCCCCAACATGGGGAAAAAAAAGGAAGACAGATCTTCTTTGCAAAGCAACGGATATTGTGCACAAAAAAAAGAAGAAGAAAAACATTGGATGTAAATACATCAAGCTTTGATCTCAAACCTTGAATACTTAATGGATCCGATGGAGATATCGATTTCAATGAGATTATCTTCTTCGATAAAATCATTTAACTCGGTTAATAGGTCAAAGAGCGGGAAATCTTGAACCTTGTTGTGGAGATAGAGATTGTTCTTGTTACTAGTGTAGTGGTGACCAACATAGTGACCACTCGGTAAAGACAACTCTATGAGACTCTCATCATCGGGGATTGCGCCATCGTCATCCTCTTCATTGGTCGTCTCAAGGTTATCCTCCGATTTCACGGTAATATCTTCGGTGGCAATATAGTCTCGTTTTTGATCTTGATCTTGATCTTGTTTTGATGATTGGAGTGAAGAATGAGTAAGTGAGATTGGGAAGAAGAAAGAGGAGAAGAATAAAGCAGCAGAAGTGAGGAGGTGTAAGAAACGAAGGCCAAAGATATGAAGAAGTGGAGGGGCGAGGAGAGAGACCCATGAAAAAGGTTTCTTCAACAAAATTGAAGCCAAACTCATCAAGAAGTACTCTTCTTCTATTTTCTTATCAAGATTCATTTTAACTCTCAAATATTATGATCAAACCCTAGAAAAAAAGGAAGGAAAAAAACACTAAGAACTTAAGTACTAGTGTTTGGACTCTTAATTGGAAAGTGCTTTGTAACTCTATTTAGGAATATCATCAAAATAGAAAGGCTATTAATAGTAATACCACCCTAGGTAACTGACAGATTTCATTATATTAATGAAAATAGAAAACCAGAAACCAGTCCATTGTTTGTTTTAATTTGCTTCGAGATTTGAGGAGCAACAACAGCTCCAACCTGCACTCACTAATCCCGATTCTCCACTAATTATATAATTTAAAATAGTTTTACTCTATGTATTACGTGCATAGTTATTGAAGAGTAATGCATCAAATCTTAGAACATTCTTTAATGATATTTCCTAGAAAGAGTAATCTATACACCCTTTGTCAAACAACTTCACACTATTTGATAGCAATAAGTTACATCATCATCTTTTACTTAACTTCAATATTACATCATATTAACACAAAATTTATGCACCAAAACAACTAACATAATAAGAACCAGAAAATAATTTAAGCATCTAAAATTGATTCTCTCGGAGACTTAAAAGGCAAAAACCCTTGAGCTTTGCACTTTGTACACTCTCCAAGGCATAGAGAGTTGGTTAGCCATGTGCCACCATCGGGCGTCATCTTACTTACTTTAAGATTATACAATTATAGAGAGTTTAAAAACCAAAGATAATGCGACAACAATACTTATTAATATCAGGGTGGTCAAATTATCCGTTGATTCGTTTTGTTTTGTTCAAACTTTTGAATTCTTTTATGTTTCGAAGCAATAAAAATATGGTAAAAATGTCATTTAAATCATCAGTTTACCATTTTTGTTGGTATAAATCATGAATTCTAGAACTAGTGATTTAAATCCTTAATTTTATGTTGATATTCATTTTAATCATGAATTCTTATTGACAAAGCCAATTGAGGCACATCGCTAACTGGTTAAACGGATTAATAAGACGATATCATCGCATTACTGGCACTTCGAAGCCATCACATAATTTTTCTTCTACACCAACATGATTTCCATCTTCTTCTTCGTCTGATTGCTCCGTTTAGCCAGTTAACGATGTGCCTCAATTGGTTTAGTCAACGAGAATTCGTGATTAAACTGAAAGTCAACATAAAATTGAGGATTTAAATCACTAGATCTACATAAAATTGAAGATTTAAATCACCAGATCCAGAGTTCATGGTTTAAACCAACGAAAATGGCAAACTGATAAATTAAATGACATTTTTCCCATATATAGTATAAAATATTATTTTTCGAATATGAAACAAATTACAGACACTTGCCATAATCCATAAGTTTAATATGTATGTATACTTTACTAGATTATTAGAACGTCCATTTCCATTTTGTACATATATCAAAGTAAGAAGTAAATAAACAGGGCTTAGAGGAGTGGAAATGAACAGGGCAAGATGGCAGCTCCCTAGCTCCTTCAAATTGGGTCAAATGCAATTCTGATGGTGCTTGGTCAAGAGAAGGGAACCAATGTGGTACTTAGAAATCATGATGAGAAACAGAGAAAGTATAATGGATGGGCAACATCAATGCCGAGGGTAAGTATAACAACAGTGATTGAGACAGACATAGAGGCACTGAGATGGGCCATGTTGATCATCTCTAGGTTTCAGTACGGGTCATATTTGAGACAGATTATAAGGAGCTTGTATCTATGATCACCAAGTGAGAAGATTGGCCATACCTTCCACCGCTCCTTCAAGACATCCATATCATGGCGAGTTCTTTTACGGAAGTTAAAGTAGTGTTTGTCTATCTAGGAGAAAATGAAATGGTTGATAGAATAGCAATTTGTATTCAAAGTTGCATTCGTGAATTGTGATTCCAAGTTGTATTTTATTGGGTAAAATCACATTTTTAACTTTCAAAGTGTCACCGGGTAACAATTTAAACCTTGAAAGAATTTTAACACTATAAACCACCAAGATAATTTTACTTAGACTTTAAACTTCCAAACTAGCTATTCTGTTTGCATCACCATTAAAAAAGACGGAACAGTTAATTTCTGTTTGTTTAATATAAATTTATTTAATTTAAATTTAAATTAATTTTATTATTTATTACAATTAATAAAAATCCAAAAAAAAAAACTTCATCTTCTTCGTTTATTCACCGTCCGACCATGACATTTCCTGATAAACCTCTGAAACTAGAGACTGAAGCACAAGAAAAGTTTTCAGTAGAAGAATAGAAACCAAATAATGTAGAATATAAGGTGCAAGAGAAGGTTAAAATAGAATAATAAAAACCAAAGAATGTCGAAAGTTAGCCGGAAAACAAAGCATTCTCCGTATCGGAGAAATCTATTGGGAGATTGTTCCAAAAGCGTTTTCACTCTCTCGAGTGTTTAGTTGGATAAGAATCCATGTGAATATATAAATTTGATGGTAATGAGATATTGTAGTTGAGCAAAAGAAAAAAAAAAGGTGAGAAGAAAACGAAAAAAAAGTTGAAAAAACATAATTGAGAACATATAGCAAAAAGTGCAATAGATAAAATGAAAAATTTATAAATTAGTAGTACTAGGCGTTTAGTGAAGTGTGCTTCTATTTTCGTTTCTACTAGTTTTTTTTTTTTTTTTTTTTTTTGACTTCTTAAAAAAATCTAATACTTTTTCGAAGAAAAAAAGTTTTTTTTTTTTAATTTCCATATATAGTTTGTGCTTCGTCTCTGTCTTTCTCTTAATTTAAATGTATATTTGGCTGATTTCTCACATCTTTTTCACTCATTTACAAGATATTATAAAAAAAAATCTGTTTTTGTTTCGTAAATCTATTTAGTTCTTTGGTTTAGGATGATTTTATAATTTTACTACCAATGTTTTCAATAAATATGTATGCCAAGCAGACCAAACCAGATATTCAGCATATATTCAAAAAAAATCTACATATCTATACTTGTATACAAATAGGTTCACAGAACTAGCTAGGTATCTAATGGCAGAGAAATAGATCATGGATATGAAATTATTTTATGATATATGTTTAATTTGTTTGGGATAAGTTTTTGGGATCCACTAGACGATTAATTTTGTGTGACTTGTTTATCACTTATCAGAGAACATCATCTTTGCAAGAGTTTTGGTGAATATATATATATATGTAAATGACTTGATGTTAGAATAAACTTCCCATCATCTAAAAAAAAAAAAAAAAAAAAAAAAAAAAAAAAAAAACTTCCCATCATCTTTTGACTTGCATGGACATTAGAATAAACTTCCCATCTAACTACATGTAGTCCAGATGCAAATAAACACTATTGAGTGAAAAATACATAAAAAGGAACAAATCAATTTCTTATAAATAATTGTGATAAGCTTATGAAAATGAAAAATGAAATTCCTACAAAAAAGAGGGTGCCACATGTCGGCCAGATGCAAACCTATAGTAGGTTGCCTATTGTTTGCAATATAGGCTACAAAAAACCTTGAAATTATGAATCTGATTAATTATACTTATCCAACTAATTTTTTGATTAACCAACGCTTTTTTTATTTTTTATCAACCAAATTTTAGTTAATGGTCTCGAAAGGAATGTTGTTTACCTACGAATATGGCCCAATCTTAGAAGTTGGGGACCATGACCATCTTAAACATTTTTTTGGATATATTAAACCATTTTAAACTTTAGTATTTTGAATATACTCAAATTCTTTTGTTAGCTTATCATTTTTAAATGTGAATATGCAGTCAGGTATAAATACTTTTTTGTACACATTATAGTGTCTGATATCAATTAATCCTCTATAATTTTATTATATTTTAAAAAGTGTTTAATATCACTTGTATCAATAAGGTATTTGAATCACAAGTAAAAAATTTAACCGTCATAGAGATGAATTGATTAAAAATGAATACTCGTTTTAATTATTAAACTTTAAACTTTTTTAAGTGACATAATTATGTGTCACTAGTCACTACAAAAAATCTACAATGTAAAGTCATTTAGCTAACGATAATTTAGAAAATGACGTAAACTTGTTTAAAAACAAGAGATTTAGAGTCGGTTACTAAACCAACACAAAAGTGTTTCACTGCTTCTGGGCCATTTTTATAACTTTAGAGTCGATTGGATACTTTCATCGATCTCATCGTTCATCAGTCTGAATTTCTAAGTAGATTTCAAGCGTTCATCAGTCTCAATAGATCCTGAATCGTTCATCGATCTGACTGCAAAACTCTGGTCGGTCTTGAAGACATTGGTTTGGTTTCGCTAGATTTTGTTTATGAACAACCAAATCTAAACCGGAAACATTTTGGTCTAATCTGATTTAGTTTCCAATTGGTTTGGTTTTCTGTCAAAAGAAAAATGTCCATAAGAAAAAATGATTAAGCATGTCGTCTATAAATCTATACAGTGTAAATGTGTAAATTTAATTAGCTTTGATTAATTCGGGTTTATATTATTAGTCTATTAAATCTATATGGCTTCGATTATGAGACACATATACCAAATTAGTGCTATAAAAAGATACAAATCTAAATTTACCAAATTTCAAAAGTAAATCTGCATAGTAAAATATACCAATCAATTCCTTAGTTTCAATTTTTTTAAATATTTTTTTATCAAAGCAAATAAAATTGTTAAATCTTAATTAAGGTTGTTACATTTTAGAAAGGTAAAATAAAAATAATGTGAAGCATAATAAAAAAAAAAATGTTTTTATTAGAATAAGTGAAAAACAGAGAAACAGAAACACACGTTGTGAAGAGTCTTTTACAGGTTAGGAGGTTACAAGTGACAAGGAGAAAGAGAATTAGGTTAAACAGAAACACTTTCTGAAGAGAGAAGTAGAAGCATGGTCAAGCTTTCCGTTGAGGAAGTCGGCGTGGTCGGTGTTGCAGTAAAGATAGCTCTCCTTACCAGTTAAATTCTTAGTAAGGACAGTGGAGAAACCTAAGTACTCCTCCCGAGACCTCTTCAAGCAAATGTTAGCCATGCACCTGAAGTTCTCTCTGTTCTGGATAAAAGGTTGCTTTACGTATTCCTCAATCGGCATCCACTGAGAAAACAAACAACAAGAGAGTGTTCTGCAGTAACTAAAACCCTCCTTGGTGAGTTGGTTCAGGCTCATCACAAGTTATATAAAATGGTTACTTACCTTAGCATCCAGGATCTCAGAGTCTTGTTTCTTGATTTCAAATGTGCTTGGTTCTAACTCACATAGAAAATATATATCCGTTTTTCTTCCCAAGAATGATTGGTGACTTTCCCTGCGAAAGGACGAGAAAATTGCAGTCAAGACTAAACAGATTAGCAACTGGTGATGGGGCTAACTAATATAGAGATCTTGTTACCCGAAAGCCAAGACTTCTACAAATCTTGTCTCAATCTGAAAGCAAAAGACCAAAAGAAAACATGAACTTTTAATCTGCAATGTCAATATAAACCATAAAATTAGAAATGTCTTCCGAGGTTTTAAGCGTGATTCTTACACCAGTTTCTTCTTTTACTTCCCTAACTGCTCCAGCCCAAATACCCTCACCCTGTGGACTTGTAAAATAAGATCAATGTGTGACTATATTCTCTATACCAAGCTGACATGCTCAAATAGCACAAAAATATGCCAAGATCACATAAAACTTACCTCTTGAATAACACCGGTAGGAAGCTTCCACAGTCCGGTACCTTTGAAAACACCATCAATCTCCTGAACCACAAGCACCTGCAAATGGAAATTTGTTCATCAAGGTTCAATCAAATGTATATTTCAAGCTCTTGTTGTATCAAAGAAAGAGTCAGCTATATATAAACATCAAGTAGTGAAAAATACAACAGACTGATACACCAAATAGATAAGCCGGGAGAAATATGAAGTAATAATATATAGTTACCTCTCTGTTTTTGTTTAGTACAAGAGCACCAATCCCAATACGATGAGAAGCATTGGCAGGAATAGTGCTAGGCAAGTCGGAGATCCAAGATGTAAGCATCACATATTCATTCTCGGCATGGTGGTATGTAAACCCTTTCTGAGAAATCACCAAACAGAGAATCCGATACGATCACTAAAGCTGAACAAGAATCAATCCAAAAACAAAACAAAACATAACATCTTCTTAATTACCTTAATTGCAATGTCAACAAGACTTAAAAGCTCACAAGGCAGCTTTATCCAAATTCCCTTTTTCCCCTGCAAATCCATGTCCACAAAAGTCATGTTCAAGCATCACCAATGATTCAAAGAAGACCATATTAAAGGAACATTGAGAAGGATTAAATCTTTAATACCTGATCCTTCCATGCCTTAAGAGAAACGTCAAGCTTTGCATTAAAATCTTCAGCAGTCATGGAATCAACTTCCATTAAGTTCACCTCAACACCGCCATATCTGTCTTCTTTTCCATTAAGTAAAGCGATCTGTTGAGCTTCACCATCCATGCTGCAGTATCTAAGTAAAACTCTCTTTATTAAAACTTAAAAGGTACAAGAACAACAAAACCAAATCCCAAAGAGAACAACTATGAATTTCTTGAATTGAGAGTCTAACAAAGAAGACTGGATCTGTTCTCCAAACTAATAAGAAAGTCTAGATAGTTTTCCAAATCACACTTTGATCTGTTCTTGATTTTTTATTTTCTTCTTTCTTTAGTAAACAACAATCAATGGTTTAGGGATTCTCTTTAGTCATCAAGACTTCAAATACAGATGAAAATAAAGAATCAAAGGAAAAAAAATCTGTCATAAATGTCATTATAGGGAACTAAAAGTTACCAAAACAGAAATCAATCAAACCAAAAAACAAAGTCTTTCTCAATATAAGGAAGTAAAAAAACACCATGAGCATCCATCACTTTTGCATTGATTATTGTTCTCTTAGGAAAAAAAAGTCAAAAGCTTTAACAAAAACCCTAACACCAAAATCGAAATTCACCATAAATGTCATTCACAGGGAACTAAAAGTTACCAAAACAGATTGCAATCAAACCAGAACAAAGTCTTTCTCGATATAAGGAAGTAAAAAACAAAAAAAACACACCAAGATCATCACATTTTTCACTATTTATTGTTCTCTTACGAAAAAGTTGGGAGCTTTCAAGCATTAGCAATCTTATGGCTCTAAAAAACCCTAACTTCAAAAACCCTGACAACAAAATCGGAGTGAAAGAATAGAAACAAACAAAGAAACGGCATTGAATGTAAGAAAGATCAAATGAGCAAGACCTTTGCGAGATTGACGATATGTTTCAGGAGATGATGCTGCTATAGTTACAGTCTTCGATTTTGTTGAGAAGACAGTAACGCAAGCAAATGTTCTTCGTCAGTTATAACTGGAAGGACACCAGAGAGACGGCCTAGTTTGCCACTAAACCAGGAAAATGAATAAGACATGCCATTATGTGCAGAATAAAATGACAATTAAAGAAGTGCACTGTAGTTTTATCTCACAAAAATTATTGTATTATTATCCGGAATCCAAAAATCTGTTAGTGTATTATGAAACATGTTACAAAAATACGTTTTATATTTCAATCATCAATTTTTCGTACCGAAATTCGTTTTACCCATAAAATAATTAAAGACGACAATTTCTTTTCTAACGTAACTTAAATAACAAACGCATATACATCTTTGTAAAAGAGTTGATGAAGATTTAAAAAATTTAGATTGCTCGAAAACTAAGAAGATGTGTGTTTAGTAAATTTGAGAAGATGAAGTTGATAGTAGCAAACCGGGTTTCGTGGAACTTTTTTACTTCAATTTATTTTGGTTTAGTTCTCTTGTTGGACCAATAATATTATGTATTATTAGGAAATTGTAGTGAGGACATGGTGAATTACATATGGCAACATTGGCAAGTCTCCAGTCTTTGGACACACAAGACTGGTGATTTAATTGAACACAAGACGTGAGACAAAGAAGCAGAAACACATATTCTGACTAGTCAGAGAGATGTGGAGGCTTGGTCAGCTGTTTCGTTTAGGAGGTTGGCGTGATCGACACTACAGTAAAGGCTCTTTTTTGGTGAATCCGTAGTAAGAACGAAGCCGGTGTACTTGTCCCGCGACCTCTTTAAGCAGATGTTAGCTATTAACTTAAACATTTCGTTCCCCTCCTTGTTGTGAAAGGGTTGGTTTACGTATTCCTCAACCAGCATCCACTGAGAAACCCACAACAAGAGAGCTGAGCCGTTAAAAGATCTGCAGTAACTAAAACCCGGCTTTATTATGTAACAGGTTTACCTTAGCAGCATAGATTTCAGAATCTTGTTTCTTGATTTCAAATGTGCTTGCTTCCAACTCGCAGACGAAAAATATATCCGTTTTTCTTTGCCAGACTGCTTGGTGGCTTTCCCTGTGAGACACCAACAATATGATGTCAAGACTAAATCGACCAGCGAGTAACTTAAAAAGAAGGGATGAAGAGATCTTTTGTTACATGAAAGCCAGGACTTCTACAAATTCTGCATCAATCTGAAGCAAAAGACCAAAAGACAACAGTGAATTTCGATTACAGTATCAATATAAAACCCAAAAGCTATAAATGTTTGTCGGGATTTGAAGCTGAATACGTACATCAGTTTCTTCTTTCACTTCCCTAACTGCTCCAGCCCAGATACTCTCACCCTGTGGATTTGCAAAATTCAGTCCAGATACAGAGGGAAGTGCAAAAACATATGCAAATAAGTTGTTTAATTGCTAATAAGTTGCAGTTGATACCATCAAGCCTCACTAATGTAATCAAAGTGTGACTATATCTCTATATCAAGCTTACATGCACAAATAGACACATATATATGATGTTTAGCATTCATAAACTTGTATTCTACAAGAAATAGTAGTGACCTATCGATAATATACAGAGTTTACTAACATATTAGTAGACAAGTTTTGTAGAAATAGAAAGTTGGCTTGGACAAGTATTAACACATTGCTTTCTTTGATTATGTGGTCAACTCTTGGCTCTTAACTTATACTAAATTTGGTTCACTGATTCTTATAATTGGTAGAGTAGAGGCTGAAAGTAATACTTAGCTTTAACTCTTCTTGTGATTGCAAATATTACATTAGGGCTTTAAAGATAAGATTACACACATATACAAAAATGTGCCAAGATCCAAAAAAACTCACCTCTTTAATAGTACCGGTAGGCACCTTCCACACATTTTTATCTCTGAAATATCCACTATTCTCCTGAACCACAAGCATCTAGAAATGGAAAATTGTTCATTAAAGTTCGATCAAATGTAAGTCTCAGCTCTTGTAGTACCAAAGAGCAAAGCTAGAGTCGGCAATAAATACACATCATGTAGAGAAAATGCAAACCGATAACTAAACAAAATATTTGTCCAAACACTACTCATCCGAAATTCTTGTATCTAAAGCCAAAAATGTTTTCTATTCTCTCCCTTTTTAGCAATTTGACTCTCTTTCAGTCCATTTACATTCAAAGTTATTGGCTTACAGAAATATATAAAAATATCGTGTTACCTCTCCGTTCTTGTTCAGGACAAAAGCACCGATCCCAATACGATGAGAAGCATTGCAAGGAAGAGTGCTAGGTGGCTCGGGAAGCCAAGATGTAAGCATCACGTATTCATTCTCGGCATGGTGGTATGTAAACCCTTTCTAACAAATCACCAAACAGAATTTGATCACCAAAGCTGAACAAGAATCAATCCAAAACATAACATAACATCTTCTAACCTTAATTGCAGTGTCAACAAGACTAGATAGCTCACGAGGCAACTTTATCCAAATCCCCTTCTTCCCCTACAAATCCAAGGCCAAAAAGTCAAGTCATTGGCAATACAAATTCAATGCCAACGGACCAAAACAAAAACCAATTAATATTTTGAATCAAACTTGGAATGTTCTGTCTAACTCAAGAGGTGCATAGCTTAGAAACGGTTAAAGCAACACCAATGATTCGAAGACAGACCATATTAGAGAAACATTGGAAAGATTGAATCTTTAATACCTGATCCTTCCAAGCCTTAAGTGAATTATCAAGCTTTGCATCAAAATCCTCAACAGTCATAGATTCCACTTCCATCAAGTTCACCACAATACCTCCGAATCTGTCTTCTACTCCATCAAGTAATGAAATTTGCTGACCTTCACCGCCCATGCTACAGTATCTGTTAGAGATAGAATCCAATTCAAAAACCAAAACCTTTATTACAATAGTAGATAAACAAAACGATAGACTAACAAGAGTATAAATAAACTCTTCCCCTCGGCCTAACCCCATAGAATCCTCCAAAGGTCTCAATTGCTTGGATAGGTTTCAGGCACAAAACCTAACCCTTATTTATAATAAACGTAAAGTATAAGACTTTAGGAAATCCTAAACTATTTTCCTAAATCATAAATTAGGAAGTATTCGTATCATTACCCAAGTAAAAGGATATATCTTTGACAACAAAACACCAAGAAAAGCAATGTTTTTGTCAAACCCATGTCACACAAACCCCAAAAGTAGAATGCTAGTAAGAGAGAAGAAGGACCTTGGAAGAAACTGAGTTATCTGTGGGAAAGAATGGAGAGGGACACTTAGGGTTTATACAAATCCAAAGAAGACGACTTTGATAGGATTCAAGAATTTCCAGGCAATGATTTGGTAATGGAATAACAAAAAAAGGATGAAGAAGACAATTTAGAAGCAAGTGCATATCGATGAATGTTCCTTTGCTTACACTTTCGTGGAACGAAGAAATCACAAAGAAAGGGTTTTTCTATTGAGAATTGACGATTCGGTGGTTGGGCCATCTTGCTCCGTCAACGGAACAGTCGTTCTCTCAGACAAAAAGACGAGACGGTAACTTTGGAAATTGGAACCAAAGAGGACGACATTGGTTCGGTTTGCATTGATCTTGATTCTGATTTTTGTTAGAACCGAAATTGTTTCGGTCTATTGTTTCCAATTTTATTTGGTTTTTATACCAAACCAAAATTCTGGTTTTATACCAAAGATTTTGTTTTCATTTGGCCGTGATTGGTAAAGAATTGGGAGGTTTTAAAAAAATTTAAAAGTTTTTACGGTCATTATTTTTTCAATCATACTTTATTAGTTTTTTTACAATAAAATTTTTTCTCTTATTTTATTAAGATTCATTTCTCCATATTTTCGATAGTTATTTAAAATTGTAATTGTTATAATCACATGTTTTACCAATCGGTTATAAAAAATTTTACTGTCAAAGTCCTAATAGCAAAAGTTTCTGTAACCAAAATCTTTACAGCGAAAGTTTTTAAAACCAAAAATAACAGTCGTTACCAATCGGCCTCTTTATTTGGTTGTATACCAAAAATCAAATCTGATTTTTGTTAGAACCGAAATTGTTTCGGTCTTTTGTTTCCAATTTGATTTGGTTTTGTACCAAACATACGAATATAGTACTTTTTTTGGTAAGGATACGAATATCGTACTTAATAAAACAAAACAAAATTTTAAAAGAGAAATTTTGACAAACACCACCTTTTCTGTATGAATATAAAACTATATTTAACAAAAAAAATCATTGTTTACAATAAATGCGACTTTTAATTTAAAAGCTTGAAATTTTTAAAACAATTTAGATATTGTTACTACTATGGGTATGAAACCAAAACTACAAGCCATCCTCAGGTCTTGAGTTCCCCAACTGTAGTAAGGTGACAAACACCACTTTTATGATATCATATTTCAAAAATATTATAAAGAGAAAAGTTGTTCATAAATCCTATGAAACCTTATTAATATTTTATAAAACATTTAAACATTGTTTATAACATACGCTGTAAAAGTATATAATTTTTTTTTTATAAACTCATTATATATTATTTACCATATGGTATGGAAGATATATTAAAATATATATCAAGGAAGATTCCAGATAAATTCTTTAATATTATTGAAGATCTATTAAAGTAAGTTTGAATGGTTCATATGATGTTAATTTATTCAATTCTAGTCAAAGCCATTAAAATAAATTATAGAAATATCATAAAGCCAAAAGTTAAATCATCAATATTTTGACCAAAAAAAAGATAAATCCTAAATATACTATTAAAATTCGTCGAAAATGTTATATATTTTCTATTGAAGAAGATTAGAGATGTTCCTCTTATTTTGAAATTTATTTTTCTAGGTTTCACTTTCTTGTGAGATCTAACAATATTTTTCGATAAAAAAAATTAGTGTATTCTCTAGAAATATATCTAATGGCCATCAAAAAAATTTCATCTCTTATATTACTTTCGTTGATGATCTCGACTTTCATCTTTATTCCCATGATTTCAGGTAAAACATTTACCTGTTTATAACTAATTATCCCATATTATTCACAGATTATCTTAAGAAAAATGAGATATTTTTACCATTTGAGTCTAATCACTAGACGCGAAAAACAAATCTGTGGAGGCAATATAAATCTGAAAATGTTCTCTTGACCATTTTTACATTGTTGATATCTTTGTTTATGAATCAAACAGGAGAAATAATCAACAAGATAAGAGAAATCAAACAATGTGGAATGAAATGTTATAGTACACATGAATGCAATGAAACATGCATAGATGAAGGGTACGAAGAAGGGAAATGTCTAGGATTAGGATACCGGAAAGGTGGAGTTGAATGTTGTTGTCTAGCCAGTTCTCAAGATGGTTCTCCTATTTCTAGTCCTTAATAATATTTCATGTCATATTTATTCTCAATATATGAATAAAAAGTATATTACATGATGATTGATCTCATCCAAGTTCTACACTAATCAAATTGTATATCCATTATCATTGCTTTTTCTCATTGCAATCTCCATCTAATGTCTTCTCTTTTGTGCCAAACATGCTCACCTTTCTTCAACGCAATTTAGACATAAATGACCATCACCAAATTTTCATTCTAAACCTTAAAACACTTCATCACCACTGCCCCAAAATATTTTCTTTAGACCATATGCTTTCAAATTATTTTACTAGAAACATAATAACAAAAATCACTGAACATACTTGATTGGATACGCCTCTAAAGGAGGGGGTATTCGATAACTGATTTTCAAAAAAGTTAAAATGAATAGAAAAATGAAAGAATTAAAGAATTTGAAAAGTTCTATCTAAATCACACCATAAAAGGTGAGATTTGTTTCTTCACTTTTTTGTCATTGATTTCTATTAAATTCTAATCAAATCACATTGACACTAAAAACAATTTTAATATTGGATAACAGTAAAAATTTAAGAGAATTCGAAAACCAATAAATTGAATGACAGTAAAATTAATTTAATAGAATTCTAAAACCAATAAATTTAATAGCACTAGATTTAAATAGAATTCTAAATTCGGTCTGTCCAACAATCGATTCGGTTCGGATCGATTTGGTCCGTCCAACAAGATTTTCAACAAGTAAATCCGTTCATTATAACCGGTCGGTTATTTTGGTTAACCGGTTATTTCGGATTTTGGGATTAAAAAAACGGCGAGACGAGAGTGAGATAAAAGAATGGTTTACTTCACTGTTGAAACGTTCAAATCAAAATAGCAAAAAAAAAGACATAATGGGCCCATTAAGGCCCAAGAATCCATGGCTCCTTCTTTTTCGCCTAATCCCCAAAATTTCACCAAGAAAGATAAAACAAAAGCTGAAAGGAAGAAACCAGAGGAAGGAGACGACCACCACAACGCATCTCAGCTCTTCCTTAATCCATGGCAGTACGATCTCTCTCCCTCCCTCTCTTTTGTCTCCATATTTTTAATCTATGAATCTTGAGATTTCTTGTTTCTTCTGTTTTTGGTCTCTTCATCTTTTGATTTTGATGTTTATGTGATTTCTTGTTTTTTTTTGTGTGGAATTGTTAAAAGTTTGATGCTTTTTCTTCTGATTGTTCGTCTGGATTTGCTTTGAGATTTATCATTTCTTGTGGTCCTTTATTCTTTTGGATTTATTCGTCTGCGAGTTTTTTGACTCTTGGATTCTGTAATAATGGTTTTTGCTTGTTGGAAATGGAGCTTTCTTGTCTTGATCTTACAAAGGTTTAATCTTTTGTATAGATTTGTAGTTACTGTTGGAAAAAATCAAAGCTTTGTTATCTCTGCAGTTTCTTCTATTCTTTTAGTTTCAAGATTTTGGTGTTGAGATAGTATTGATTTGTTTATCTGTCATAATACCTCTGATCTCATAATTGGCTGATTCTAGATTAGTCAATAGACAAAGAGAAAGTCTTAGTAAGATCTTGAACAGTGGATAGGGCTAATGAGAAGAATGGTAGTTGTTGTCTATGCATATCATCTTCTGGATTTCAATACTTTGCATATAGCTTGCTTTTACTGAAACTTTTTCCTAAATATATGTTTGTTACGTGTTGTTGTGATCGACATAGAGGCTTTTATACTGTTAAATCATAGAAGACAACCTTGAGTATTTTGGTTTGCAAAGAATCGATATAAGTAGTAATGAAAACTTTTTGGAATGGATGTTTAGTGTTGTTGGCTTTTAGAACTCATCTTCTTGGATAATCGGGTGACTTAAAATGTTTGGATGTTTGGATTGTGTGTAGGACAAGGGCCGCCCGTTGCCAAAGTTTGGCGAATGGGATGTGAATGACCCTTCATCAGCTGAGGGATTTACTGTTATCTTTAACAAAGCTAGAAACGAGAAAAAGGGAGGTGGAAAATCTGACTCACCAGGGAAAGATGAACCTGGATATAATAAAAATGGGGAAGTTCTTGAGAAACCCGCCGTAAGCAGCAGCATCTCTTCTTCCTATCTTAATCATCGTAGTATAGATGTATTATTGATGCTGTTCTTGCATAATTTGCAGAAAAAATGGTTTTGCTGTATACGCGCAGAATAAGTGGAGAGGTGTTTGCCTTGGAAGGTCGTTTATCTATATCTAAAATCATACTGCATCAAGAAGACTGGAGCTTGTCTGAGAAGCCATGACAGTCACTTTTGGATTCTGGTCAGAAATGTTTTGAGTGGTGTGTTTAGTGACTCTGGTTGTTGTGCAAGGATGGATGTATTTAGATAACAACAATGTCGTCGTTTCTATGTATTGGTGTGATGGGTTGTATTCTTCACTTGTGAGTTAATGACAACTTAATATTGCTATCTCTCTGTTGATTTTGGTTCCATGGAAGCTCTCTTGAATCATATTCGATTCACTTTATTTGACGGTATTTGAAAATGTCTGAAACATCAGAGTCAACAAGCCTTTCTAGTCTTTCCTCAATACTCACAAAACAAGATACAAACAAATGTACTAGGAAACATATTTGGAGATGTGAAATTAGGTGATACGGTTTTCTAAGTATGAGAAATGTTCCTGCCAAAAAGTCCAGCTATTCCTTTCTCAGGGTCGTTCTGCTTGACAATGGACTCACCAACCAAAACCTGTAAAATTAGAATAAGCTCATACATCAGCAGTTCAGCGAATCGATTATCTGATGAATGCTTGCAGAGGTTTCAAGCAGCCAAACGTTTGGATGGAGGGATGTGAAAGCTTACCGCTTTAACTCCAGCGGCTTGTACATAGGCAATGTCATCTGGTGTAAACAGCCCGGATTCACCAACCACCTTAACCCACACAACAGGATTTATCATGGAATGGTCAGAACTCAGGATGATGTTCCGGCAATTGATAGACACCAACTGAAGAATGGAAAGTGGAAGTACTTACAATCATGTCTCTCTCACGGATTTGTCTACCATGCTCTCCTTCAAGAAGCTGCTTTGTGTTACTGATGTCCACTTCAAATGTTTCTGAAACACAAACATTTTAGATTCGTGAGACTCCTCAACTGAACTAAACTCTCCACAACAAAACTCACATCCCCCATGAACTCATTCTAAGACCACAGATATCAGAACTAGCGATATGTACAAAAGCTTTATTACCAAGGCTTCGGTTATTGATGCCAACAAGCTCGATTCCTTCTATTCCAAGAACACGACCCATCTCTCTCTCATCATGTACCTAATTGAAAGTCAAGCATATTAAGAGTGAAACAAAAATAATACTAACTTTCAACGTGCATAATTTGTCACCCGATTAACAATAATCAAAGCATGGAAAGAGACCTCAACAAGTGCAGCCAAACTCAGCTTCTTGCAGATCTTAAGCAAGTAGGTTATTTCTAGGTCAGTCAATACAGCAGCAATAAGCAATACTGCGTCCGCGCCTTTAGTCCGGGCATAGTAGATCTGCCATGGATCTACAACAAACTCTTTGCATAATAGTGGACACTGCAATAATTGAAATGCACGGCTTACACAAAGTTTTTTGAATATAAAGCTGCAAAAACACCCGTCTTTGCTAAGAAAATACCTTCACACCAGCGCTCCTAATGGCTTCCAAGTTTTCATAGCCTCCCTGTTGAACAACATCAAGATAAAAACTACACATGTTAAAAACTCGTTAGAAATGTGAATAAGATATCTGCAACTGAATACACAAGTGAACCTGGAAATACTTCTGGTCTGTCAAAACGCTGAGGCATGCTGCTCCGCCTTTTTCATAAGCTTGAGCAATCTCGACCTGAAAGACGATATGCATTAGCAACACAGCCGTAGGAATCATGAAGACCTTGCATGTCTAGATAAAAGAACAATAGCAAATCATATTGGGAACTGTTCACAAGAAAAAGAAAAATGTTGATCTACTTCCCAAAGCCAAAGACTACAATGCTCAATGTTCCAATCTTTTATCCATTGAAGAATCAACCTTTACTCACTTAATCAGAGTCCACTAACTCAATTCAAGAACACGATTTAATGTCATTACAGAAAGAAACAGAAACCAGCATCACATACCGGGTCAAAATTCTCTTTTAAGATTCCTCTACTTGGAGAAGCCTTCTTAACCTCAGCGATCAACCCAGGGAACCCAGTTCTTTTATGAGCCATCCTAAGCGCCCCGACAAAATCCCTGGTTGGAGGAGCATCCTCTACAGCTTTCTTCAGCGCGTCAAGCGGGTTTAGTTCCTTCATCTGAAAAGTGAAAAAACAACCATTATTAAGTGACAGACCTTCGGATAAACAAACACATTCTAAGGAGAAAGTCTTTACCCGGGAAACTTCTACGTCTTTGTACCATGTAATCTCCTCCAAGATATTACGAGGAGAATCAGCATCATCATTATGCAACCTCAACTCAAATGGTCCAGAGTATCCCAAAGGAGCCTTACTCGGTGGTTTTCTCCTTATCCTAATACCTTGACTAATGGCTAATTCCTCCTGATACATCTCCACTTCCCATTCCTTGATTCTAAGAGCATTTCCTTTATCCTCTACTGATAAAGAAGACATAGCTAAGCTTTCCTTCAAATCCGACTATCCAAAACAAAAAAAAGGTAAACACTTTCAGCAACAGATTGATAGAATTAGAATTAGAAAATCCCAATTTGATCCAGCTAGGGTTTAGACAACATAAAATGTGACAAATCATACAGAATCAAACGAAAGACTTGAACTTTATATAAGGGTGTTCTTAGAAATCATCAATCATAGACAGAAGAATCAAAAATGGGAGAACTTTGGCCGTACCTGTTGAGCTCGGATCGAGAATTGCGACGGAGCCCTAAAGTTTATCTTCCTGTCCATGGCAAAACCTGAAATTGAACGTCTGATTGAGATAGAATTGTTACACGGATACAGAGAAGGTGAAGCCACTCTGACCGGAAGTCTCTGTACCGGAACTAGTCCCTCCATTGCCGGAAAACAAAGTTTCGAACTTGAAGGAGAAACCAAAACAATCACAAGGAAGAAAATTCAAATGTTTTTGTAATTTATGGTCAAACTAAAGTTTTTATAGAAGCAAATCAAGAAATTTGGATTATGAATATTTTTGGTAGTTGGTGTGATTAACACGTGGGTTAATAGGAACACCAACGTATGACGGCGATCCAAGTTAATGAAAAGAGATCCAAGTTAATGACATTTTATTTCTATATATATTTCGGTTTAATTAAAACCAATCGATTATGCCGTGCCGAACCGAATCGATAACCGAACATCTAAAACCTAATGTTTCGGTTTACTCGGTTCAGCTCATCCGATTTCTGCCGAATGTGCAGGACTAATCAAAGCTAAAGACTAGACCAGTCTCTCTGCTCAACGGTATTTTCACCAACCATTACAAAAAAAAAAATCGCCGTCATACGTTGGTGTTCCTTAATGTCATTAAAAGTTCTCAAAGTCATTTTTTAACCAATCAAACTTTTAAGACTTTATTAATTTCTAAAGCCCTTAAAGTCTCTCACCCTCAATTTACTCTTCTTTTCAGATTTTTTTCTAAAGCCTCCTAAAAGTGACTTTAACTTAAAAAAGAATAATAAAATCAAACTTTTATTTTTCTTCATTCCCCATCTAATTTAAAAACTCGTTTTAAGACTATTACTATTTTATTATTGAATAATTTTTATTGATTAATTCTAGCTTTATTTTTAATGTTATTTTGAGATCCAATTTGAATGTTTTAAAATAATGAATATTTAATATGAGAATATTTATATATCATTTATTAATAATTTTTTTACTTCTCTAAAGTTTTATCAATAAAAAAAATTATTTATATCATTATTTTGTCAAATGAATTCATTTTTATCATAATTTATTATTATAAAAAATATTTAATAATAACAAAAATAGTAGTTACAGTTGCAACAGTTTTTTCGTTACCAATCAGATTTTAACAGTCAAAGTCTCTACAGCCAAAGTCTCTGCAGTCAAAGTTTCTACAGTCAAAGTTTCTACAGTCAAAGTTCCGACAGCGAAAGTCTCTACAGTCAAAAGTAACAGCCGTTACCAATCGGCCCCTAAATGTCCAAGAAAAGCAACGAAGACAACTAAATGTCCAAAAATACAACCATCTAAGAGATGTATTTATATACCATAAAATAAGAATATAAGCAAAACATAGATAATGTAAGAGAAAATTAACAACCTTCACCAAAAAATCAAAACTTGAATCAATGGAAACGATGCTAAGGTCTCAAACCAACGTCAAGACGATCAAACGTATAATAAAGAAATCGAAATCGAACAGTCACACAAAGAGTAAAGAATTATACATACCAGAACATGGTTGATGGTTGTTTACAAAGCCTAGATGCCAAGATTGGTATAATGATGAAAACAGATGGCTAGCTCTTCAACAAAAGGTAGAAAACAAAGACAAAACAAATTGTAGGTATGTGGTAGGAAAATTTTCCAACCAAATGTTTCCTAGGAAAATTGGTAGGGATACAAAATGTTTTCTTGTAGTGTATGCATTGCTTTATATTCAAAACTTATCGTATGATCTTCTGACTGCAAATATACTTAGGAGGCTAAGGACTCGTGAATACATCCAAAGTAGTCAAGACTCAAGTAACACCGCAATTGACAGATTTGTGGAAACAATTTCCAAGCTTGAATCTTACAACATCCAAGTTCAGAAACTATGACAATTTCAAACATTCTACAACATCTCTTGATAAATTTAGAATAGTAGGGTATTGTATACCTGAAGAGTTAATCCATAGTTGGATAGTATTACAACATCTTTTTATTGTCATCTTTTATACTACTTAATATTTGATTCAAAAATAGTATTAAATTTTATTTTTACCAAAATTTTAGTTGATACATTATATAGTTTTTGCAATTTCAATTGTGACTATATAATAATAATTTTCTTATTATTCTTACAAAAGTATATCAAAAATACAAGAATCAATTATTATTTTCCCACAATCATTGTCAATTTAGGACTTTTTTTGTCCGGTCTTACCTATTTGGACATTTTTAATAACGGAAAGACGAAATCGTCCTTTTCACACAAAACGATTGATTCTCTCTTTCGTTCTAGCCGCTGTTGTCTCTCCCGCCTCAGCCAAAATCAAACAAAAATTTTAGATCTTGAACTAATCCCGAAAGAAGATCTTTACTACAACCTTCATAATTCACTACAAATTTCCAAAGCTCGGCAACTAATCCTAACAAACCCATCTCCATTGCTCCAACCATTCCAATCGATGCTAGCTAACAATCTCTCTATCAATCACTATCGGAGAAATCCTCCTTTATTGAAGCACTGGTGAACGCCATCCGAGCTCTCAAAATCTCCCACGAGAGTAAATCGTAGTTCGACACAGCCACTGAGCTCCTCAACAAATTGAAGCTTGAGAAATATGTCGTCAAAAAGCCTATACAGTTACGGTAAATCTTGCTAATTCTCTAAAATGTCTTTTATATTTTCGATAATCCGTTTAGATTTTTTAGAAACACATAGTTATTTTTGTTTAGAGAATAAAATTATTTGTTGTTTGTAAAAATTCTATTGATCGTTTTTTTAATAAAATTGTTGGCTGACAATAAATTTTCATGCCTCGAACGATGATTTAACCACATGGTGGTGGGCGAGTGGTTCTCGTTTGGTTGGAAGGATCGCCCTGTTGGTCTAGGCCAGGGATCGATCCTCCCCAGACGCAGTTTCGCTCTCTCACTCCTGTGGCCACCTGGGAATTTACCTGCGGACTTGCTCAGGCGCCCCAGACCACCAGTTTATCAGGGGGCCCTTAAGTAGAGGCTTAAAAATCTCTGTGACGCGGGCTTAGGCCCAGTGGGCTAGTCAGATCACTGTGTGGTCTGGATACTGGGTTATCAAAAAAAAAAAAAAAAGAACATTATATGCAGTCGCTCATCAGAAGCAAGAATTCAAGCAGCCAAAATGTCGTCCAATTAGACAAAGGGCAAAACTTTCTTTTCTTATGAAAAAAATGCCTAAACCTTGAAGGTTGTAAGTCTAGGAAATAAACTAAAACTAGCCATCGTCGCGAGAGCTAATCCCAAAATACAATTCCAATAAATCCGTTAAGGTCCTTTCCTTTTTCTTTTTTTTTTGGGTCTAAAACAAAAACAAAGAGAGAAGAAAAATGTTGGAAAGCATTAACCTCATCTCCTGCAACTTCTCTCGTCTTCCTCTTCTTCTTAAACCCTCGAGACCACACCAATCCTTAAGACAATCCCCAGAAAACCTCCTTCTTCTACAATCACGAGCCGGTTCTTCTTCACCATTTCTTAAATCCGATAAAATTCTCCATCACAATCACCGTTTCTCGAGGAAAGGCACATTCTTCCATATCTGCAAAAGCTCTTTAAACAACCCAGAAGAACCAGAGAAAACTCAAATTCAAGAAGAAGGAAGAGATTGGTCAAGCTCAATTTTGCTTTTTGCGTTATGGGGTGCGCTTTTGTACTATTGCTTCAATCTCGCTCCTGATCAAACACCAGTACGCATCTTCACATACTTATTAGTCCAATTTCGTAAATGTGTGATTTTTGCAATCACAATCTTAGATTTTTCATTGCAGACACAAGACTTGTACTTTTTGAAAAAGCTTTTGAATTTGAAAGGTGATGATGGTTTTAGAATGAATCAGATCCTTGTTGGGTTATGGTACATCATGGGTTTGTGGCCTTTGGTTTATGGCATGCTCTTGCTTCCCACTGCTCGAAGGTATCATTTCCATGGCTTCTTCCATTGTCCTCTTTAGATAGTTTACCATATTAGAGTTTGTTCAAGTGAAGCTCTTTTAGGAACACTAATAGATGCCTTTGTTCGACAGTAAAACTCCGGCTTGGCCTTTTGTCGTGCTTTCGTTTTTCGGTGGTGTATATGCTTTGTTACCTTATTTTGCCCTTTGGAGTCCTCCTTCTCCTCCTGTTTCAGAGACTGAACTGAGACAATGGCCTTTGAATGTTCTGGAATCAAAAGTCACTGCTGGGGTAAGAGATCTTTCTCACTCTCACTCTTTATAAATCTTGATGTGTTATCACTGAACTCGGAATAAAAAGCAATATGTCTCTCACCTTTTGGTTTTTGGTTGTTGGAGTTAACACAGTTTATGCATCAGGTAACTCTTGTTGCAGGACTGGGTATAATTCTTTATTCAGTAGTTGGTAATGCTGGGGATTGGACGGAGTTCTATCAGTACTTTCGAGAGAGCAAATTCGTAAGCTCGATATGCTCATGTTTTCAAGAAATGAAAATAATCTTTCTGCTCATATTCGACATAACTGAACTAAACCTTTCTAAAATGCAGATTCATGTTACAAGTCTTGATTTCTGTTTACTGTCTGCATTCGCTCCGTTTTGGGTTTACAACGACATGACCACCCGAAAATGGTGAGTTCTATGTGAAACTATTTTGCGGTGTTTACTCAAACCTTTTCCATATCTCTAAACGCACCGCTTCTTTATCAGGTTTGACAAAGGCAGTTGGCTTTTACCTGTATCGGTGATTCCATTCTTGGGACCTTCTTTGTATCTTCTCCTACGACCAGCAGTGTCAGAGACGATAGCTCCCAAAGATTCTGCATCATCTGACCCAAATGAATAGCAACATCAACACTTGTTTTCACTTGATGACAAGACAATTCTCATGGATTTTCGAGAAGGCTGGGGAAGGTTTTCCAGAAGCCTGGGGAAGGTTTTCCAGAGACCATCAAATTTCTGATGCATGAATGCTGCTGATGACATTATCAAACATGATAAACCACCAACGTCACAAACATAAGGAGGATTTCATTTGTACCTTTGTATACAGAGAATTTCATATGGTTAAGAAAGTATAGAAGTTTTACCTAAAGGAGGTTTTTCGATCCCTCGAAGCTAAAAAACTGTCTACTTTTCGAATAATCAACAAAACCGCGATAAAATTAGTCATTGCTTTGATTTGCTTCTACAAGAACAAACTACTTCAGCTCCTTGCATACCACAATTCTTTACCCTCTTCTATAGCTGATGGAAGTGGAATCATATAGATATTAAATAAACAAAAGGAGAAAAACTCCAAGTTTATTGTAGATAATAACAAAGTGTGGAAAGTCAAACTGAAGTATATGGAGTTTGTCACATGTCCAATAAAAGTTTTTAGGCATACAACTTGTTGAGATCATCTTTGAACTTGGACTTTATTTGTTCCCTCTTTATCTTAAGAGCAGCTGTGACTAATCCCGACTCTGGTGTCCACGGCTCCGGCAGCAACTTGATCTTTGCTGGAAGTTCAAATTTTTCGAGCTTTGCCGCCTTTCCGGCCTGAAATGATAACAGTTTTTGAAAACATATACCTACCAGAAGTAACTGAAAAACCTGAGAGCTATTGAAAATACAAACCTTGGTAAGAGATTGTTGAACCTCCTTGACTGCTTCACTGTTCTCGCATAGCTCGGCGAAGTCACTGTGTTTAACTCCTGCTTCCTCTGCCCATTTCTCTAATGCTCGTCGTGATGGAACAACAAGAGCTACACAGTAGCTGTTCATTGGGTCTGCGTGTACCATGATGTTATCAACGTAATTGCTCGAACTTAAAGCTGCCTCCACCTGTGAATTGTGTGATCCAGACAATGCAAAAGCATGAGGAGATTTCATCATATTCCATCCTCCATGTAGAATTTAAGTTCTATAGGCAAACCTTTCCAAGGGATACATATTCCCCGTGTTGAAGTTTAACAATATCTTTCTTTCTGTCAATAACTTCAAGACATCCATCAGGGTGGAATCTCCCAATATCTCCGGTGTAAAACCACCTCGTGCCCTTCTCATCGACCTGAAATTGTCACATGGATCCTCAGAAATCTATATACCAAGCGGATCAAGTAAGCTCCCTGAATGTTTGTTTACCTTGTAAACCTCATCGGTTTTTTCTTGATTGTTGAAGTAACCTGCTGTTACACTGTTACCACCCACCACAATCTCCCCTCTGGGCATTGGTTTGTCTGAAATTCTGTAGCCACCTTCTTCCCAAGAAACGAGCTACAAGATGAAATTTGTTACTCATGATTACAACAAATTTACACATTTTCAAAGTGTTGTGTTAAAGATTGTCTGCAAACCTTAACATAGCCGCATGGAAGTGGAGGTCCCACACGGCCAACAGCAGGATCGTCCCACTCAGAAAACGTAGCTCCAGCACACGTTTCAGTCAATCCATATCCTTGGCCGATGGGAGACCTAACAGAAAACAATGCGCAATCACTATCAGAACAAACTAAGCCCAAGCATTGTGAAGTTGCAAAGAAGAATACAGAAAAAAAAAACAGACCAGATGAGTTTCAGCAACCAAAAGACAGCGGGTTCAAGTTCAAAGATACCAAAACATCACTAATAAGTAACACAGAATCCATTTGATTTTAATGGCGTTTGCCTAAGCCAAAATGGGGACAAGACTCATATGAAAATGTCAGATGTGAGACCACATTACCCCATGCAGATATTGATGAAGCGTTGCGAATCAGGAGATAGAGGAGCTCCTCCACAGAGCATAAATCGGATGTGTCCTCCAAGCACAGCGCGTATTTTCTTGAAGACAAGAGTATCCCATAACATCTTCTCCAAACCCCAGGCACCAAACCAACTTCCATCCACAGCTGCTAACCGGCGCTTGTATGCAAAGTCAAAAAGGGTCTTTGCCATCCCTCCCTTTTCCTCAACCTAGATTATTACATACACAAATATAACTGATCTAGTAAGTAACTCCAAAAATACACACAACATTGTTGTCGCTAATATGGTACCTTTTTTAGAACTCCTTCTCGGACACGATCCAGAATAGCTGGAACTGCAGTCATTATAGTTGGCTTTAGAGCCGAAACATCTCCTTTGGTTCCTTTCTTAACTTTATTTGAAGTGTCAGTTAAAGTCATTGCTGAGCCGTAACCGATGGCACTACCTGAGGTAAAGACCACAATCTGAAAAACCATGATTTGGTAAGAAAGAGTAAGACAACAAGGTAGCAGTTAAAATGAGAGAGACAGAGAGAGGGAGAGAGAGCACAGCAACATACCTCAGCTTCCAGCTCAAACACATGAGCCAAAGGTAAGTATGCAATATATGTATCATTCTTATCCAGCTTCGGAACCACCTTCATAACTCCTGCAGCAGTTGCGACAAGATTTCCGTGGGTAATCATAACTCCCTGAGTGAATGCACACAATGTAAGGTACATCAATCAAGAATTCAGGTAAACAAAACACCTAAAGAAGAGAGAAGACACAGTCCAACACATACCTTTGGTAGACCGGTACTACCACTGGTAAACATTATAACAGCAACTCCATTCTTCGAAGGTAAGATCGGTGGAACATGGTTCTTCTGCCCCAGTTTCTCAACTTCAGAGATCGACGAAACAGTGATGTCACCCATACTATTTAAGTCACTAGAATCAACATCTACTCCATCTTCTTCAATGTAAATAATGTTCTTCACAGTTTTCAAGCTTGATTTTATCGCAGACAACTTCTTAAGTTGTTTCGAGTCGCATATCAAGGTTGATACTCGAGTCTGTCAACAATAAGATACCAAGATTCAGAGGTCCAACAACCAAGTTTACTAATAAAAAAACATACACATTCAAAACTTCGCCTACCAACCTCATTGAGTGAGTAAATCAAAGCCTCTTCTCCTAAAGAAGCATAAATAGTAACAACAGTTATGCTCTGCCTGAAACACCCCTGAAATATTGCAACAACAAAACCCATTTCATCACACAAACTCAAACCAAACCCACAAAAACAAATTGCAACCATTATCTGAATAACAAACCTGAAACGCGATAAACCACTCAGCTCGAGTATCCGAAAAGATAGCAACACGATCATCAACATTATGTCCAACATTCACTAACCCCGAAGCAAAGTTACAAACACGTTCAAAAACCTCTCCATAAGTTTGCCACTTATACTCTCCTAAATGAAGCTTCTCAAACTTCCTCCCATCACTAGAAGTAACAAATTCCCTATCTATAAACTCTCTAGTCCCAAGTAACCGATCTTTCGAATACTTCTTACAAGACTGCTCAAACAAAGCAGGCATAGTAGTAGCTCCTTCCCAAGGTACATCAACCAAATCAGGAGCACGAGCATGACGCATCGTGTAACCTTCCTCGCCGCCTACTTTGATCGGAACACCTCTCTTTTTCCCCTTTTTGCTTCCATTCAACAACACAGAGAGTAACACTGGTACAAGTAAAGCCACGATTACGCCTCCTATGATTCCATAGACTCCAAATTCACTGCCTTTAGATGGTGAATCCATTGGATTCACTCCAGAATCTTCCATAAGAGCGAAAGCTACACAAAGGAAGGAACAATAACACTAATCACAGTGATCCGATGATCGATCGAGCAAAAGCAAAACCGGTAGATCACAACAGAATCCAAAGTTGAGGGATCGAAAAAAATGGTTTTGGAATTGGTTTACCTAGGAATGGATCGAAGGATCAGTGAAAGGAAGTGTCTTGATGATTTCTTCGAATCGGGTTCCAGGAATAGAAGAGAAAGTTCAAACCTTTTCGATGTTACTTGTGAACAATCCGAAGCTTGTGGACTCTGTCCTTTTTCGGGCAGCTGTGGTTAAGGAATGTTTCGTCGGTAATGGACACGTGGCATTTGGTAAGTGGAGGGACACGTGGCATTTGGTAAGTGGAGGGACACGTGTATGCTTCTCCGTTTGGCTTTTTCTTGCCACGTTTGCCAAAAAGTCTGGAGAAGCTGCTTCGTTGAAGTTCTAAAGATTCTCCAATTGAATATTGTGAAAACGACGATTTTTCAAATCAGAAGCAACCAGAAACGTCTATTTTTTCAAAACGCTAATGTAAATCAGAACGCTATATTTCAATCAACGAAACGGTAAGCGATACTAAAATACTTAAAAGGTAATGGACAAGAAATAGCGGTTCCAATTTTGCGATTGTTAAATACTAAACGGTACACCCTTAACCGATCGGTAAGGAGTCCGAGTTACCAATCAAACCCTTTGAAATGATTTTGATGAAAATGTGTGCGAGTTAAACACAGATGAATACACAAAGCAGTTCCGAAACAAAGTAAAAATGTTCATATCTCCATTTCCAAGATTTCTCCGTTACAAGACGGTGTCCTAATGATGCCTATGTTCGCTTAGGAGGATGGCGGAGAGTGTTCTTGACTATTACTAGATTCTCAAGATATATATGTATATTAACTAGGAAGCTCCCATTGAATTGAGGAGAACTCATGAAAATCTAACTGGATCCGCGGCGAACACTTTCTTCGGTTCGTTCAAGCGCGTTTGTTAGCACGTCTATTGTCCAGTTCTTCAAGTCATCCTGATGAAAAAGGAAACAAGCAAAAAGTCTGATCATTGAATATATGATTTATCAAAACACAGCAAGGTTGATGATTGAATAGGTGCTTTTACCTTGCGCACAGGTTCTCCAGTTCTTATTTGTGCATTTGGGCGAGCAAGCTTTGACTCAAAAGGTGTTCTTGGCCTTACTTCTCTAAACTCATCCCACTCCTCACGCTCGATCATCCGCACTGTGCCTTGCCCCGGTGGTGCATTCTTTATCTTGCGTTCAATCATTTCTTGGGATTTCGAATCATCGATCTGGCAACAAGCCAACAATGACAATCAGCAATTTCCTCAGATTTTATTTTAATCTACATATATTGCAGAGTAGGCATAGAGCAACGAGGGCACATCTGCTTAATAGCTACTAAAATCATTGACAAGAAAGAGATGATAGAAGAAGGCTTACATACCATCATTAACACCTTTGCAAACAATGCGATACCGACCACAGCGAGGAACATAGGCATCGTTGCTGTGTCCAAATACGATCTTGATTCTGGAACCTCAACTAGAAACTGGTTCTTTATTGGGTTCCTTCGCTTCTTACTCTTTTGCAAATCGGCTATCTTCTTTCTTAAGGTCTCCGTTGGGGCATCATTAGACGGTGAATGAAACCTTCTCTTAAGCAACGTAAATAACTGACTCTGTCGAGACATCATAACCAGAAACAGGGATCTTCTTTCTACACCAAAGATAAAGAAAAACACAGTTTAGCCAAACTGGAATCAATGAAATAATGGAACCATCAGCCCAACTCCAACACATACATCAAGCATCAAGTACTAAGATGCGACAGATATAGGCTCATTAGGGCGCAAAACTTAAAAAAAAATCCCTCTTTTTAATTTAACCAGAAGACCTCTTACAAGAACACACTCATCCTGGACACGGTTGAGACTGTACCTCTCTCTCTCTCATAATGACCTCAACAAAAACACTTCAGAGATCATCACTGAAGCTTCACCACAAAGACCGCAAGCCCTAAGTTCGTTGATAATCCTAACAAGAAGCTGACCATACTAAAACTAATCTCGATATGCAAACCAAATTGCGACTTACTTACAGTGCTATACTTAGAATTTGGTAATGAACTATGCTACAAGAATTAAGTGACATGTTCAAAACAAAAAACCACAAATTTTCAAGAAATAAACCACCTTAGGTAAGCAAGATAACACCAATCGCTAACTAACTCCATAGATGTACAAATAATAATCTAATCTGGAATGTTAATAACTTTCGTTGCGGCATTTTGACGAACACTTTGTGTGCACCTTTTCCTCAACATGAGCCATACAAAAAAATTCGACATTTTTGCAACATGGGATTAAGTGAAATCGAGATGGGTACTCGGAAAAACTTTCCTTTGAGCTAGAAAGATCATTCTTTAAGCCAATCAATGACCAATTCAGAATTATTTTGTTCGATGATTGAATCTCTAATGGAAGATATGAAAAAGTGTTAAAAGATGAGGAGATTGCAGATGTAAACTTACCAGATCAAGAGGGGATTGAGTAGACAAAAAGAGACTGTTTTGATAGCCAAAGTCTTCTTCTTCCTTTGATCATAGGTCCAAAATCGCTAATGTTCAGAAATAAAAACAATTAGTTTCCTTCTGAAATAACTTTTTTTTTTTTTACTGTTTCGCTTCTTAAATTTACGTTGGAAGTGAAAAAACAAAAAAGTTTAGTTATTTTCGTCCAATTACACCAAATTTTACGATTTTGTTACTTGTTGATATATATTTTCATAAAATATTTAGTATTTGAAAAATTGTCTTTTAATATTAAAAAAAAATATGTTAATGAGTTTTAGAATGGAAGTAAATATGTTAATGAGTTTTAGAATGGAAGTAAATTTTAAACTCATGGTAGAATAAAACTAAATTTGTGTAATTCTATATATAAAATTTTAAACAAAAAAATAAAATTTGATAGTAAAATATTAGTTTCTAAGAACAATATACATATTTTTTATTTTTTATTTTTATTCTTCTTAAAGAAAAATAAAATATTGCTAAACTCAACTTAAATTTATAATATAAGACGAAGATATTGTAAGAGTTACACTTTATCTTGTGAGGTTGTAAAAAATCTTGAAAAGTTTAAAACATTATCATCCATCTTTAAAAAATAAATAATCAATGATCACATCGTTCATGAGTTCTACAACAAAATATATAAAAAATGATATGTAATCCGTTAAAAAAGTGATATGTAATTTGTATAGCATATTCTTAAGTGGAACTACAACTTGATCAATAAGAAAAACAAGTTTTATATTTCAGCAATTGAGTCAAATGCTTTTAACCCAAAAAATTGAGTATTGAAAGATAGTAATTAAGGAAAAAATAGTTATGATATGTCTAGAAAATCAATTCACAGTCCAATATATTACATGTGAGTCAACAAAAGGTGAAAAAGTAGATGTCAAGAGGCAACGATTGCATCACAGAAGATGACAAAAAACTTGGTAGTTAAAAGTGTTTGTAAATAAATTTCTAAAATTTAGAGAGATAATGCACATGACTAAAGTAAAATCTTTGAGATCTCATTCATTGTATGAAACGAATAAGTTCTTAGAAAAATATATTAAACAGATTATTAGATTCAAAGTTGGGCTTAACCGTTTGACCATGTAATCATGGAAAGTGAGATAAGATAGGCATATTGCTGACTTAGTCGAGAATTCTCTTGTGGCACGTTGCGCTTGCTTCGATGGGTAAAATAATCATTGAAAATATAACACTGTTCTAGCAAGATGGTGTTATAGATGTACCTTTATACTAAATAATGTTCATAAAATTCGGTATATTTGTATTTCATATGGAATGATGTTATGTTCATATCAACATTTAATCATAAATAATATCTACAATTAGGGCAACAATCGATAATTAACGTCAAACCTTTTAAAAAAATATCTTCATGGAATATGAATAAGAAAGAAACTCTTTTAGAGATAAATGATCATTAGATGGTCTTCGACACCGTTTATCTTCCCGCAAATTTTTTAAGTGATTTTTGTTAACACGTGATATATCTCAAACCATTTATTTGTCAAGGAAACATTATCGTCGATAATATATATATATATTGTATATCGCTTCGTAAAATAAGTTTAGTGTTATAGATTTATCTTTTAAAATTTAAATTATTACATTTATGCTCAAATATTTTTTAAAATTTTAATGATTATATTTTATGTTAAAAAAGTATATTAGTAGAAGAGATTTTAGATTAAAATCTCGCGCAACGCGCGTATACAAAATCTAGTAACTAACAAAATTAGTCTTAATTAGTACTAGTTCTTTAATTTATTTCACAATTTTTATTTTCTTATAATTATAATTTTGTTTACACTAAATTATTTAGAAAATAAATGGAAATGGATAAGGATTAAGGTCTCACTTTAATGGATAAGGATTAAGGTCTCACTTTTAATATCCTTTTGTGGTCATATCCTTCTCCATTCACATCACCCATGTTTAACTCTAGTTCAACTAATGTATTTTGAAGCAAAGAGAAAAATCCTTCTTTTGGTTTATCTTTGACAACCAAAATTGTCAAAAAGAATTCCTCAGTTTGATTGACATCAAAGAGATATCCTACCATGGAATAACAAGTTATTTGTTATTTATGATTATTATCTAACTTCGAATCATGAATCTTCTTTATGATCATAATTTTGATCTATTTAACACATATTGCAAATTTGCAATCAACTCATTATGAATCATGTGATTAAAGTAATGTACATGGTAAAGAAAATCCTAATATTGGCTATGAATAGTGATTATTGGAAGTTGTTGAGTTAAAAAAAAAGAAGCCTATTTTTCAAGAATTAATTTTATTAGTCATAGACTCATAGTTGGTACTTATCTAATTCATTTGACAACAACAAAATCAGATAAAATTAGCTTTAATTAGTTTTACATTATTTGGCACAAACTTAAAACTTTTAAATGGAAAAAAAAAATTCTTATATTTACAATGATTATTGTCAAGAAAAACAAAAAAAAAAGTTGTTGAGATTCAGTGTAATTAATACTATAGTGTTTATTTTTGTATTAAATAGTTAAATTTGACATAAAAAACATATCAGTGAAAAATAGTAAAATCCATAAAGATTATATGATCCAATCTGTGCCATTAAATTGATCTGACAGGTTCCGACTTGTTTCTCTGGTCAACTCTTTCTCCATCAAATTTTCTCAACAAACCAATTTCACTGTTTCATCGTTCTCACGCGTCGATTCCACAACTGGGTCTTCTTCATTACAACCCAAATCTCCAGCTAGATCTCACCTTTGCATGTGTGTAAGTTTACACCGATCTAAATTTGTGTCTCTACCGGAGTTTACAATGTTGTTGTTTGTTGATCATGAGATTTTGCATTTACCCAATTCGTTTCAGGAACTGATTTCGCGAGTTTGATGATAAAGTTTCAATTTTTCTTTGTGGGTTGATTTCAAATTGTGAGAAAGATTCAAGCTTTGTTGTCAATGATGCAGCAGCAAGATCGGATTGGTGAAGAAGTTGATGAAACAGATCTTGAGTCTTTAACAAGTAGTGTTCCTCGTAGAGACGCATCACATAGGTTTAGTTCTCATCAATTCTCAGGAATGGTGAGACAAAGAGCTTATATATTTGATGGTGATGGTAAATACTATAACAAAGAATGGGATCTTGCTGAAGGAACAGGGAAAGAGTTTTGTTGGTATCATGTTGAATTACCTAAAGGAAATCAGAAGCTTTCTCAATCTGCTCAGCATCTTATTGATGCTTTATGTCCACCATTGAAGCTTCAAGATATTCTTTCTCTTGTTAGTAATGGACCCTTTTGTGGGCATGTTGATGGAGCGCTTGTGTTTAGAGTTAATTCACCTGGTCCTGCTTCGAGTAGCTTTACGTTTAAGATTGCTGCGAGGATTACTGAGAATTCTGTGATCACTGTGTCATTAGGACGAGTTCCTAGGTTAGGATTCTCGCCTATGGGTCAATCGCTTCTCTCAGAAGTTCCTAGTGTGGATTCTCCTTCGTATTATCGTGGTGAGAGGAAGGAAAGAAGTGGGATTGTGATTGAGGAGCATGTTCTTGAATTCTTGCTGACTATGAACCATTCTGAGGAAGCTGATAACCCTGTTCCAACTTCTGTATCGAATCTTGTTGTGCATATTATTGATACACATGTTGATCAGCTTCAAGATGTTGTTACTAAACTTGAGATCGAATTGGATGCCGTGGAACTCGAAATGGATAGAGGTTAGCTACCACTCTCTTCTTCAACAGCTAATTTTGTTACTAAACCCTGATATGACTCAAATGAGAAACATGCATATGCCATTTGTTTTGTGCACATTTGCAGATTTATTTCAGAAGGTTTTTGTATAGTTGTTTTTTGGTTTCATATGTATCATCAATTTTGACGATAGGTGGATTTGCTATGAAGAAGCAGATGTTGGATGATAGAAGGTTCCCGAAATTGCATCTCAACTTGCAGCGTCTATTGCAGGTAGAGCTATATATTACAAAGCCTTAAGATTTCTTCAGAACATTATTTTGTGCGATTTCATGTCTTTGCTGCAACTTTTTGTTCTTCTAAGAACATGATTTAAAAGGTTCTGGCTTTTCCTTTGTATCTACTCTTTTGCATCTCAGGTGATTGCACATGGAGAACAAGTATTTCCAAGAGTGAAAGAAAAATGTTCCACGAAGCCTTGGTTTCTGGCAGAAGACATCAACTCACTGGAAGAGTTGATTGGGCGGTTAAGACGTTTAAAAGAGAATGTAGGGTTCATTGCGAACCGTGTGACTGCAATCCAAGCTGGTTTGGATAGCTGGCAAGCCGAACAAATCAACCGAAAGCTCTATTACCTCTCCTTTCTTTCCATCATATTCCTTCCTCTATCGATTATTACCGGAGGTAAACCAAACCACCCAAAACCCAATACTCTGTTTCCATTTCATCACAGAAGTACAATCTTAACCTGTTGTTGTTAATGTGACTAAATGGCCAGTTTTTGGGATGAATGTTGGAGGAGTACCTTGGACAGGACAAGACAAACCGGAGCTAGGAGACGGATTCAGAAATGTGATGTACATCTGTTTGATAATGCTGATTCTAGTGCTGTGCTGCTTCGGTTTTCCAGCGTTATATGGTCGGATAGCTTCTTGGTGGAGAATGAGAGATATGAAAAGAAGTTGGTCTCTTAACAGAAGATCGTTCCAGAAGAGACCAAACATAGTCCAAGAAAGAAGAGGCTACCTTAGGCTCTAAACCCTAAACACACTTCTTCTTTGAGTTCTTCATTTGCTTTCTTTTTACGTTTCTTCATTTGCAGACGCATATACTTCTTGTCTACTTGTAATTCTTATGAAAAAACTTTGGGTTCACAATGTTCTGCTGTTTAGTTCTTGAGCAAGACTACACTGTACAGCTGTTATTCTTTTAATTCTTAATTTATTCCTTATTTTTTTAGATTGTACTTACTTGTAGAATATTTGTTTCATCCAAAACAACTTATATATGTCATAGAATCATTGTATATACAAGAGAGACTATTGGGTTTTGGTCTCAAAATTTCAAGAATCGGTGTTAAGACAAGTAGTGATCCAAAACCTCAAGTTCTTTCTTATATAGTTGGGTTAATTACGGGCCAGGCCCAAGTTCTATGTTTTTCTTTCAGGTTTTGACAAAATGGGGAAAAGCTTTCACGGTTTGACAATTATGTCAATTTCAGACGAAAATGCCCTTCTAGCGGAACCGGTGTACAGCGACAGCGAACGAAATCGTCAGCCGCGTTGGTTACGTACACAGTATCTCGTTAGCTACAGTAAATTAGTTTTTTAATATTTCCGTCGGGTGTACAGTGTACGGCGAACGAATAAAACAAATAAAATATGGTGTCACAAATAGTTTAAATGCTGAAAAAGTTGAGACATGACTCATTCCAACTATAATCAATGCAAACTCATCATTACATCTTATTTTAATCCTCTTAAATCATAAATTCGTACACTGTTTAGATTTTGTAAAGAGAAATAAGAAAAAACATAAACTTCCCCTAAATATCTATGAAGGAATGAGATTGTGGCCATTTTGATCTTGTTGTTTAACAAAGTTTGCAGGCGAGAAAGCAGTGACCGTGGTTAGTAATGAAGTTGTAAATATAAATTTTAGTTATTACATACACTTTCAATGAAAACAAAATTGATTTGGATACAAAACTTCAGGAATTTGATTTATTCCTGTCTTGATTCTATATTTGTTCTGTAGTAAATGTTAAATGAGGAGATTCAATGTGCATTAAGTGTGTAGTTGCAAAGTCTTTTTTTAGTTGGAGTTATAAAAGTTGTTCTCAGTTGCATTTAATGGGGTTCTCCTGAATTTATGATGCACGATGTTAATGGAGATTGCAGTATTTATTATGGTTGGTGATTGGATAGTAACAGAAGGAAAATGGAAATTTGAACATGAGAAAGAAAGCTATGGTCGGTGTGTACGTGTTAGGGAAAACATGACGTACACGGATTTGGCACGTACATTATGTGAGGTTTTCAATTTGAAGTACAAAGAATGGCAGCCAATAATTAGTTACTGGATGCCGGGAAATATGTCAATTATGATACAACGTACACGCCCTCCTGTCTACATTGACAATCAAATGAGCTTGGATACATTCTTCCTAATTCGTGTTGGGGATCCAAGTGTCAACTTGTTTGTGTCTTTCAGTAGAACTGTAGATGCCACTAATGCGGATGTAGATGAGCAAACTGACGTACATGATGAAAAAACAAATGAAGATGCAGAGGATGAGGAGAACGAAGAGGTGGATGGGAAAGAATTGAATGACAGCGACGAAAACATTGAAAAAGATGACGATGTCAGTGGTGGCTATAGTGCGGGAAGTACTCTCGACCCTACTATAGGACGGCAATGAAGGTAGTGGTGAAGATTACGATTTCAACAAGTAGAATGATTTGATTGTAGAAGAATATGGACTTGGCCATGTTGAGGAGGACGTCTGTGACATTCCACCGACCGTGGAACCGGCAGGGGAATTCAGTCGTCTATTGGTAGAGTGTACGACCACAAGTCAACGTGTATGTACAGGAGAAACCAGTGCGAATTTGGGTGACACTCAGCTAACTATGAATTCAACCCGGACGTGTCAACATTGATTACTCCAATGTACGTACACTAGAGAATGTGTACGAGACACAGGATGCGAAGGTGAATTTGTTACGTATACGGATACCGATGTTAATGGTAGAGACGAAGTCAATGGAGAGATTGGTGTGGATTTGGATATCGGAGGTTTAGAAACTGGTGTCTTAAACGAAACTGATCTCCGTATACAACCCTCGGTTAAGTCTTACGAAGTGTATAATGGATTTTCTTTATTACATAGTGGAGAGCCGGAGATTCTCGATAATGATGCTGCTCCAGTCTTTGATGATTTAGCCAAAGTTCGATGTGATTCTACAGAAGTTGAAATTAGTACGACTGGTGAGACATTGTATGTGGGTAGTGTGTTTATCTTGCACTCAAAGTTTGCTTTTGCTACAAGCAAACTCGGTCTGATCCTAGAAGATTGGAGATGGCTTGTGTGGATGATAATTGTCGGTGGCATTTGTCTGCAAAGGTTGTCAAGAATTCAGAATGTTTCAAAATCACAAGTACATCCATTGAAGACTATGTACGTAAACATGTAATACTGTGTACGTGAGAAACGAGGTAGTGATCATGACAGAGAGAATGGTGTTATTACCACCATGTGTAGGGTCTTGCCAGGAGATAAGTAAAACTATCACAAACAAGTGAGCTTGGAACATTCTTTTTATTCATAGTAGCGATCTAAGTGTAAATTGTATCGTTTTTTCCAACCCGTTAAAGAAAGTGTGAATAGTGTGTGCATGATGGATAACCTTACTGATGAAACTAACCATGGGTCGGAGGTGAAAACAATGAAGAAGTAGATGAGGAAGAAAAAATAGAGGGCAATAAAGAGGATGAAAAGAAAGAAGATGAGGATGACGAAGAGAAGAAAGAGGACGATAAAGATGACGACTATGAACAATAGTAAAGGTAATGACGAAAATTACATTACAACAAGTGGACTGCTTTTTTTTGTTGAGAAATATGGGATAGGATATGTCAGGAATGTTGGTGACACTCAACTTACTGTGGGGCTAGCATAAAAATTCAGTTGATTATTAGAAACATGTACGTATACTAATTAAGGTGTACGTGATTTATAAAGCATCATTGGTTTACGTAATTAAAGTTGATTATTCGACACATGTACGTATACTACTTCACATGTACGTAATTAACGTACAATATTAACATGTCCACATATTCAAAGCAACGTACACCGTAAATTGTATATACGTACACAAAAGAAATTCGCTGAAGGGTATAATTGTAATTGTGCAGTCATCTTCCACATGAGTATCTACTTCTGCAACCCTAAATATGCAGCCGTCATTAATCTTTATCTCAGAATCTCATTTTTTTAACGTTTTGAATGTTTTTTACATACAAATCTTGTAAATCTAGTATATTTTAAGTTTGAAAAATTAAAGAGTTTGAGTTTTGTTTCATTGTACGATGGTTACGTTAAGTCAATTACGTCGGAAGAACAATTGCTTTCTAACCATTCTCTATCATTTTTTCCAATTCGCTGGAAATCTCTTAATCTATTTAACTTTAATCTCTCTACTTGATAATGAAGCAAAATCAATGACTCTCCAGAAATTAACCTCTTCGCCGGATAATCAGTAACTTGCTCTTCGGCGGATATTAGACTTGAATGAGATGTCTCAAATCAAGTTGCAGAACAATTGAAACGGAGATTTCGAAAGACGAAGATGGATGAATGAATTTCGAACAGAAATTTGACTTCTCTCTCGAATCTCTCTGTCTCTCTCTCTCGTTCTTCTTCTTTGTTTTCTTTGTATCTTTTTTTTAATTAATTTAAAACCAAACAGCAAACCAAACGAAAAGAAACTAAACCAGGAGCTACTGTGCTGTTTGATTTCTTTCATTAAGGGTATTTTGGTCAGAATCTGGTTAAATTGTCAAATTTTGAGAACTAAATCTCAGTTTGTCAAAACGTGAGACAAATATTCAAAACTGTCCCTTTTGTGAAAATTTTTGTATATAGTTTAGCTCAAATAACGTTTTCAATTTTACTTCTTTGAGATTTTGTACTATTTACAAATTCCATAAAAAGTGTAAAAATTGCTAAGCGACATAACATTAATACCTTATCCAATGCAATAAGAATAAAACATTTAACGCAAGAGATGATTGGCTCCACAGGGAATAATAATTACAATTCTGCCACTGGAATTATACACTACAAAATCACATCGAAATTACAATTCTGCCATTGTCGGTGGATCTTCGCCATCTCCACTTCACTCGACCTTCATCGACTTCCCCAGCAAACACAGTCCTACTCAGGTGGGTCTTCTTCTCATTCTCCATTCTCGGATCTAAATCTCTAGATCTCTCCTGGGTTTGGATCGAAAGAAGAAATGTTTGGTCGATCTACAATTCGTGGAGGATTCCGTCCAGAGAATCTAGGGCAAAACGCACTTACCTTAATAGGTAACATAGGCTTCTCACTCTTCGTCTTCGGAGTACTAATCTTCACCATTATCGCCGCAACTTACGAACCAGAAGATCCTCTCTTCCACCCATCTGACAAAATCACAACTTTCCTCACTTCCACATCAAACGCAACACTGAGATCCGATGACTCCGTTGTTAAAACCGGTGAAGATTTCATGGTAGCGAATCAAACAGCATTTGCAGAGTTTATCAACATAACTGATGTTGAAGTAACCAATACCAATGAGACTACTTCAGAGGGAGAGGCTAATCAGTTGGAATGTGATGTGAATACTCCTATTGATTGCAAAGATCAAGAAGTGTTTCATCTTATGATGAGAGCTACTATTGAGAAGTTTAAAGATATTCACTTTTATAAGTTTGGTAAGCCTGTGGTTGGTGAAGGTGTGAATTCTTGTGATATGGCGTGGCGGTATAGGCCTAAAGATGGGAAGAGTGCTGCTTTTTATAAGGATTATAGGAGGTTTGTGGTTGGTAAGTCTGAGAATTGTAGTGTGAGTGTTGTGGGGATTGGTGAGTATCATTCGGGTTTGAATGCGAGGAAGCGGAAGAAGAATCAGAAAGCCGGGTTTGAGAAAACTGGTGGGAAGAAAGATGATTTCTCTTTGCCTGTTGTTGGTGAACTAGTGAATGATTCTCTTCCCATGGTTGAGTCTGATAGTGTGTTTAAGAGTGGCAAGTATTTGGTTTATGTTGGTGGAGGAGATAGGTGTAAGAGTATGAATCATTTTCTGTGGAGTTTTTTGTGTGCACT